AAAAAAATAATAAATGAGCAGGGCATTATCTTGTCGATTAGAGTGTAAATGATAATCTAATAGATATTTGGCAATACCTATTAAAATTAACATGTTAATACATTGTTAACCCAACTTTGGTGAAGAAAATTATATAGGCTCTTTTCTTAGGGGAAAAGAATAGAAGAGTTTCCCTTTAAAAATGTAAATAATTATAATTTCTAGCTAAATTTTGAAGGCTAAAAACTCAAATATTTTGCTTTGACAGAATTTAGGTATGTTTTTACAATCTCTTTTGGTCTTAATGTGTCTTTATGTTTCAGGTATTTCTCTAATAAATAACATAGCTAAATTTTGTTTTTTAATACAATCTAATAACCTGTAGATTGTTTACATTTATTGTCACTTTTGATATATTTTACTGTTTGACATTACAGTTCTATTATATTGATGTCCACCAACTTATTTGTGCTTTCTACCTCATTTTTCCTTTTTTGTTCTCTCCTGCCTTTAATCCCTTTCTTTTTACCAGTTTTCTTCAAGAGAGGGGTATGGTAGCGGTTTATCAATATTCAGTGCTTACAGGAGTATGACTATGACAGTATCCACAGCTGACTATATCTGTGTGCTTCTTACCACAGCAACCTGGAGCCATGTGATGCTTACCCACTTTTAATGCTAAGAATGCTCAGTGGGTTCAGATGTCATCAATCTCATCTCTCCTTTAGAAAGTTCCTCACTCGCTTTTCACCTAGTTTTAGCATTCATTGATGATTGTTGCCCAAAGCTATTATTTCACTAGAGATTGCTAAAGAGAGATTTGCCTAACTCTGTTATTCCATTTGTATTTATTAGTTTTAATTATTCTACAGAATAGAACTTTTCCTCATCGATTTTTGATTACCCTAAAGTTTAGGTACAGGAATGCAGAATTTATTTTCTGGTTTTCAGAATAAAGAGTTAATGAAGCCCTAACAACCTCCAAAGGTGACCAATCAGTTTATTTTTAGTATCATAACGAACTCAGATTTTTACACACTTGATGTGTTTGACTCAACGGCACGTGTTATTTTCAGTGCTTTAACTGCTCTGTTTTTGGCCAGTAGGAGGCCCTCTATTGACTGTTCTCTTGGCAAGACTCTAGGCTTTGATAGCCCCCTTGCTTTCTGGCACATGATGTCGCATTTCTGCAAGGAGCCCAAGATTCTTCTTAGAGACCATGTCACCTTAAATGCTCTCCCATTTCTCTAAAATAAAGTCCAGAATACTTCACATGGTGCAGTACCCTGCCTCCCGATACTGGTCTCACAAATGCATTATCTTTGTAAGTGGGAAACTGATCCCTTCAGTGTTCGAATTGCTAGTAGGGCCTGTGTTAGCGGAAGAAGCTGGGTACGAGCAGCTTGGGCTGTTTCCCACGATGATGCATGTAACACTCTTTGAGGTTGCAGTGATAGGAAAACAGCTGGGAGATGTAGCTGTAATGGGTAAATATGTGTATTTGTCAGCTCAGCAAACCGTTCTTTGGTGAAACCTCCTCCCTCTACTTCTGTTTCGCGCATGTAATTGAGATGGGTCTCACGGGGCTCCTCCCCTCCCGCCCCCACTCGGACAGTGAAGGCGCGGCCCAGGCCTGGGTTGGTAGAGGCTTCCACCCCCTGCCCGCCTGGCCAGTGCAGGGCCGGGCACGCAAGCCAACCTTGGCTTCGTGGAGCCGTTTCTGATCCTGATGCCCTAGCCATTTTTCTCTGAAATCGTGAGCTCTAGAGAAACATTCCTGTGACTTTCCTGTTCAGGACAGCTACCCTGTTACTCCCGCTTAAAGCACCCTGCACGTCCCTTCCCTCGTCCTTCCCTCAAGCGTAGTCACCTGGGTGACTGTTTGACAAATGCCTGACTCTGTACTAGAGGCTTGTATTTTGTTTACTGTTCCATTCCCAACAATGTCATGGTGATTAAATATATTGGAAGTATGAATAAGTATGAAAGTAATGTTTTCAGGCTTACGGTACGTAATAATCTTTTTGTTAGGAAATGTACTTTCACAAGGTAAAATACATTAAGTTACAAATAAATCTGCAATAATCAAAAATAATACCCAAAATATCCTCTTAAAATAATTTATTCTTGAACAGATGCAGGTCAGTAGTTTATCCTTTTCAAAACAACAAATTACATTTTTATTTTACATATACAAGAGCAAAGTTTTATAAGAAGTAGAATTTGTTTATTTATTTTTAACTGGAGTTTATTTTAAATGTAGCCAAGCTTAGGAAGGTAGCATGTAGAAGTTTAAGTTATAAATCCCTACAGAATATGACAATCACTCTCAACAAGTTTAGGTTTTCAAAACATCTTTTCTTAACTATATACTACTTTTAGGAGTTTTCATACCTTAGGGTTTCCTATCATCTTTTTCCGTTTATATTCAACTTGTCCCACTGAACACCTCAACTAGGTGATTTTTTTCCCTCAACTCCACCCCCCTGCTCTCTCCTCAGCCCCGTGTTACTCCCTCATCTTCTCGTGTGCCAAGCTATACACTGGTATAATCCCTCAGAGTAGGCAGGGTTCTCAAAATGTGGTCGCCCTTTTTGCAAGATTATAATTTACCTGCAATATTGTACATTTTTAGGAGTTGGGAGACTTTTCTATGTCATATTTTTACAGGGAACAGGCTCATCACTGAGCTCAGATAAAAGCCTGTCAATGGGCATCAAATTGTATTTGTCAAATACTTTTGCTAATTGGAATCACTGGTATGGTTAACTCAATTTACCCTACCATTAGCAATAAATTACCTGTTACTGCAAACTGGGCTGTTTCCCTCACTATGAAAAATAGAGTGGTTAAGAGTGTGGACTCTGAAGACAGACAGGTACTTCAAGTACTAGACAAGTACTTCAGCTTCTCTGTGCCTCTATTCCTTCACCTGTAAAATGGGAATACCTTTAACCTATAAAACTGAGAATTAAACTGTATCTTCCACAAGAGCCAGGCTGTGAACTCTCTATATTTTCACTGCTACCGTTTTCATCATTACGATTGCTGTTATTTCTGTCATGCACAGCACCTCAGCCAAGGGTGCAGTACGGGGCCCCAGAAGAGGTAAGAGAAGGATCTGTGAAACGTCAGGGAAAAGGGACCCCAGAGCGTGACCAAACGGCCAGCAAGCTGGCTCGGGTTCTGATAAACCCAGCTGACACAGTCTGGCCACAGGGGTGGAGAAGAGTGAAAACAACCTCTGAACGGCAAGCGTAGGACGATTTCTGTCAGGTTAAGTCTTCTATTAGAGCCGAAGAAGCTAGATTTAAGAGACAGCAAACCTCGGGTAGCAAAAAAGCCAAAACAATCCAATTAGAAAGTGGGCAGAGGATCTGAAAAAGCATTTGTCCAAAGGAGACATACAAACGGCCAAAAGGTACGTTAAAAAGCTTCCACATCACTAATCCTCATGGAAATGCAAATCAAAATCACAATGAAATATCACCTCACACCTTTTTTTGTGTGAATGTGTGTGTATACACCTACATACGTAGTGATGCATAATGGAGCATCGTCCCATTAGGAAAGCATGCATTTGTGATGATGACATGGATGGCCCCTGAGGACATCGTGCTAGGTGTGACATCACTTGTGTGTGGAATGGAAAAGAGCTGAACCGTTAGATGCAGAGAGCGGTGTGACAGTTGCCAGGGACGGGGATGGTGGGAATGTGGAGATGGTGGTTAAAGAGGACAAACCCTCTGTTGTAAAATGACTGGGGATCTAAGGTACAGCATGGTGATGATAGCTAATAATACTGTATTACATAACATAAAAGTTACTAAGAGTAGATAAGGTTCTTACCACAAAGAGGAAACGGTAATGATGTGATGTGATGGGGTGTTAGCTAACACCATGGTAATCATTTTACAATAATACATAAGTGTATCAACATAGACTTACACAATGCTGTATGTCAATTATATCTCAGTGAAGCTGGAAACAAACAGAAGACAGAGGAAGAATATATCCATCTACAAGCCAAGGAGAGAGGCCTCAGAAGAAACCAACTCTGCCAACACCTAGATCTCGGACTTCTGGTCTCCAGAACTGTGAGAGATGAATTTCTGTTGTTCAAGCCAAACAAACAAACAAAACACCACAGTACCATAAACAGTATAAAGTGCAGATTATAGTGTTTACTCTCAGATTTGAAAATATAACTTAGAGTAGAAAACATTTGGAAAAATACTTAGAAATATCTTCATGTGTTCTGGAAATACTGATTATCCATGCACGTAGTTCTGTGCTAGTTCCTTTTATCAGCATTCAACTTATGTAGTGGTAGAGATGTGTACATAGAAACCATGCACTTAAGTGCGCGCAGTAAATGGCAAGGTTAAAGCCATTTTGCCTCGAGCATTTCTGAGCCTGACTAGATGGGCTGTCACGGTCCGTCCAAACGTGAAACCCTGCAGATCTGAACAGCTATGCAGACAGGCTGAAAACTGCTCTGTCCACCCTGCCGCCCCTAAGACGTGGGAAAACTAAAGCGATAGTTTTTCTCCAGAATTTAAGTGAGTTGAAATTGCCAATAATTATAATCAGTTTGTTGTTCAGTATATGTATACAATAACATATCTGGCTTATGTTTCTAAAGTGAATTACTTACTAGCACTTGAAAGAAAAAGGTAGCCCTGCTAAAGGTAGTGAAACCCATCTTGATCTCTTCATCTTCTTTATTGCTCAAATATTAGCATCATTCTCACTCGTCTCCTAATTTAAGGGTTACTCAGAGAAGACAGAAGGTGTAATAAAAATAACTTAAAGAAGGTAAGGTAGGATGGCAGTCAGGGTAGGTAGAAAAATTAAGAGTCATGATATTTGTTTCTTAGGGAAACTTCATAGAAATAACAGAAAATACATTTTTAAATAAATAAAAAGTAGCTATCTTTGAATAAAATTACCTTTACTTAAGTAAAGAATTTCTATAATTTCATTCTGTTATAAGTAATTCTCACAGAATTCTACTATGGTTTCACTGCATAGATATTCCCTCATTATTTTAAGTGACAACTCTGCAGTTTAAATTAATACAATTTCACATTTGTAGACCATTGGTCATTCACTCATGAGTTCATACAACCCCAAAAAAGGTTGTTGAATGAAGAATATTTCTTTTTTGAGGAAAAGAAATCATGATCCCGAATGCTTTTCATATTATCTTCCTATTCACAATTACTCATAGAATTCCCTGTGTTATTCAATACATGTTCCTGCTACTCAAAATACACAGTACCCGAAGCCGGACTTCTGAAACTGGCTCGTAGCATTGTCCCAGCAGAGCCCTGGTAAAGGAAGTCCCACACAGCCAGTACTTTCCACGCCTGGGTGAGTAAGCCAGGTTACTCTTGAATCCTCCCGTGCCTTACGGAAAAAGCAACAAGTCTTCTGTAAACGACTCCCAGGAGTGTGATCGTGAGCACCACAATTCCGCAAACAAGACTGAACGCCCATCGTGGGCCCCAGGAAGTGTACACTTGGCTGATGTACACAGGTCCGAGAATCCGAGCTGCACTTCCTGAGGCTGTCAGCCAGCCCATGTACACACCCTGCGAGGTAGGGAGGAGGGGAAAATGATTGATATGCAGGTTTGGTTGTAATAAAAACAAGGGTGATGCTATGGGAAACCCGCAGGGATCACTTTTCCATCTTTTATTTGTGAATTAAATATAAGATGCCTCTACAAATACAGAAAATAATGAACAAGAAACTTACTGATAGAGTCAGGTTAGGAAAAATAGAAGTAGACAGGAACAAACAATATCTGCTGAAGCCCTGGGAACAACAGAATTTACCTTTTAAGGCTAACATTTATCTTGTACTTGCTATCTTTCAACACTGGTAGGTGCTTTACATATATTATTTCCAATAGTCACAAATGCCTATGGGCGTTATTCCCATTTAACAAACGTGGAAGCTGAAGCTCAGAAAATCCAAGTAACTAACAAGAGGTTTGAAGCCATGTTTGTCTGACTCCACTGTGCCACCTTCAACTGCACCACAGGCCGCTCCTTCAACCACTGCACCCAAACGCGAGCCGTGCAGCCTCCCAAGAGTGTGCAGTGCAGCCTCAATATCAGCTGTGGGTCCCCAGCTGTCGCCTAGTTTGAGTGAGTTTCAACTTTATGCTTCAGATATTTTTTCTATGAAAATGATTTTGAGCTCATAATCTCTGAGTTCAAGAGATCTTTAAGTTCTTTGAGTACTTTTTGTTCAGTTTTAGCATTTAAGTCCTGTAAGTACTTTTAAAAAAGTTGTGGGTGTTTGAAAAATTCAAAATGCTGACTACAATTTAAAACGCCCCCCCATATCAGCGTGTGTGAAAATTAAGAATGGCAGCACAGAACGTGCGCGCTTACAAGTGTATGTCGCATAACTGCGATTCCAAGGTGAGTGACCCACCTGCGGTTTTGGTCCCAGGATTTTCGAATATAATGTATAGGACATGACGTTGCAGGACGGGTAGCCTATCCCAATGAGCACTGCTGACGTGAAGAACTGGGCCAGGTGGACCATGGGGGTGTCGAGGCACCAGGCCTGTTCGATGGGGCAACCAGTGGGTTCTTCGCTGTGGTCTTCTCTTGGAGATTTCCAAAGAGTGATGATAATTTCCCCAAATGTGGTGTTAGGGATTGAATTATTATGTAAATCTGCAAAAACAAATTTAGCACAGTGCATTACTTGTTCATTTTAGGTGAGTAACAGGCTAACTTTATAGAATTATGTATGGCTGTACCTTCCCACTGTATTTTGGGAAACTGATTTCCCCACGGTAGCAAGATAAAGAAGCCAACCCATACCACGATGAGTCCTCCCAGTAGAATGGCACGCTCGCCAATCCTGTCAGAGAACAGAAACTCTGTGATTATATTTTATAGCATAGTTTCCTTACTTTTATCATTTTAAAAACTATAAATAAAACATTTTGATACTTTTAAGTCATGTACCAATATGAATGCTAAATGTAATTTCTTCCCACTAAAAGGAACCAGTACTCCTCTAAAAACTGGCTCAAAATTTTAGGTCTTGGACAGAAAATATGTTAAGATGAACATGGACATCAGTGACTATGAGGTCATAATAAAAGGACTCAGAGCCACCTGGAAGAAACTAGCCCAAAACATGGCAATGTGAACACTAAAAACAACAGTAATAATAATGGACTGAAATACACAAAAATATTATAATCTAGGGATTCATACTACATTAAAATAAAATACTCTTGGTCACTTTTAGAGGATGTTTGGGATCCAACTCTTTATTTTAAAAGTCAGTTACTAAAATAAAAGGAAAGAATCACCCTGTCTTTCCTATACAGACTGTACCTCAGGATAACCAAATATTTGGTGATAGGAATTTTCTCTATAGAAAATGTTACAAGAGATAGATAGATAGATAGATAGATAGAATTAAAATTTCAGCATCTTGCAAAGATCTATTAATGAATTAATGGATCTACAGAATGTTACTGGCCACTAACATGATTAAAAGATAAATAAAACATAACATTTCTCCTCATGTAAGCTTTTAACACCACCTATAGAGTATCCTTGCCAAAAAAAATTCAAGTATCATCGAGCTTTTAGTACCAAAAAAAGAAAAAAATACCAATTTTGGGGAAATGCATTAGAGTCAGGAAAATGTTTTTGAAAAAAGAAATACCACAAGGATTCAATCAGTGAGATCCACAATGTGGAAAACTACGAACATCCTGGATTCTTCAATTTGCAAAGGAAAAAGCTGAATGGAGAAAAAACAGATTAAAAGAGATTTAAGAGCCTCAGTCAAGTGAGTAAGCAGTGAAACAAAAAAAAAATTTTGAAACAGTAGAGAAAATTTGAATACTGCATGGATATTTGATTGTATTTAAAAATCATAGAATTTTTTAGATGTGATGCTGTCTTAATTAATTTTTAGAGATACATGCTGAAATATTTATGGAAAACATGAAATTATGTCCGGGATCAACTTCAAAAGGATCCAGGTGTAGGGGTAGGGCATGTGGAGCAGGTAGAGGCAGAAATGAATCAAGACTATCCAAGCGTCTATCACTGGAGAAGTTGGGTAATGGACAACAGAGATTCCGCCTAGGATGCTCCCTACAGCTTGTGTGTATGTTAGAAATTCTTCGTAATAAATGAAAATATAGAGACTAGACCAAAGGCTTCTTAAAACAAGCCCCGCCATGGCCAGGTGGCTCGGTTGGAGTACCATCCCGTACACCAAAAAGGTTGTGGGTTCAGTCCCCTGTTGGGGCGGATACAGGAGGCAACTGATCAATGTGTCTTTTTCTGTCCCCGACCCCCACTAAAATCAATAAACATACTCAGGTGAGGATTAAGAAAAAAAGAAACCCAAACACTTCCCATCATGTTAGAAACACCTCCAAGGCTTCACATCTTTGCAACCTGATCTACCATATTTCTCTCACCCTGCTTCCTACCTGCTCCTTAAACACGCAAAGCGGTCTTCCCAGGGAGGAGAGGCCAGGCCACGGCCAGGCCGCCCTCGGGCCCCACCGAGGTCCCCGCGTGGATGGGACTTCCTCAAGCACGCCTTCCTCGGGCACTCTGTCCAAGGAACGCTTCCCCCTCTCCTGCACCTGCCCTGCCACTCGTCTCTCCCTCTGTTCCCCTCTTCATTGTGCTTATCACTACCTGACTTCCCCTCTGAACTGGCTTTGCCCCCAGCAGAATCCAAGCTCTTTGAAGGTATGGAATGGGATGGTCAGTAAGAATGCCAATTAGCAGGACTGCTCTATTCCTGTAGCCAGACATACGCCTCTGCTTTTAACTCTGAGTATGAGTCTGTGTCTATGTCCATCTACGTCCTGGCCCTCTGCTTGGCTCTACAAGACGCTTCGTGGCGTCCCTCACAGCACGAAACCCTACGGACTAACTCAATATTCGGTAACTGATTTTAAAACTTTATTAGAGTTCTAAAGCATTACAGTCTTTTAGGAATAATTAAATTGTTAAAACTATCTAAATTCATCTAGTAGCGTGCCACCCCAGGCTATATGAATGAACTTAATTTTATACAAGCATTTCCCCCAACGTGTGTTCTTTACAGTTGTACTTTGACAAAATGCTTCTTTGAATAAAGTGTTCTGTGGTCAAAGTTACAAATAACTTTCAAAAATGCTACATGTTGTGTTTGTCACGGTGGTGATAGAGTATCTATACACCAAAAATTTAGAAGTTTTAGAGTAAAAAAAGTTTAGTAATTTTCACCAGAGTTTTCCAGGTTTAACCATTGAATCTTTGTTGTATAAAATACTACCATTCATCAGAACAATGTTTTATGAAATAGTTTTAGAATACTTTAAAATATACAAATGTTACATTAGAAGGCAATTATTCCCTTGTAAATATCTTGCTTTACTAAAAAGTATGCCATATGGTATAGAAATAAGCTCTCTTAATAAACTTTAAATCTGTTTTCAAATGTCCAAGAACTAAAAATAATACATAAAAATAGAAAAACTTTAAATTATTTTACTAACACATTCATTTACATTGCTAAATGTTTCATGTTTCACTTTTAAAATATAGACTTGGAACAAAACCAAAGACATATAACTTACTTTTTGGAGAGTAATTTAACCCCCATGAAAATAATAATGGCCTCAACTCCAAGAGCAGCAAGAATTATCCCATCATATAACACAGCTTGTTCTCGAGTCCAGGCATACATATCCATTGTTAATGGAGTAAGGATGCTGAGAAAAACAAAACGAAATTATTTTATTTAAATCACGGTCATTGTTACTTAAAGTTGATATAGAAGCTTTAATAATGCTATTGACACATGTAAGAATTTGTATCCCTTTTAACAATTGCACCAGTTCACATAAACAAAAATTTAGTATATTTTTTTAAATCCTCACTCAAGGAGAACTTTATTGATTTTAGAGTGAGAGAGAAACGTCCATCAGTTAACTTCCATGCGCACCCTGACCGGAGACCAAACCCATAGCCCTTTGGTGTACAGAAGACACGCTAACCAACTGAGCAGCCTGGCAAGGTCTTTGGGCCCTTTTTTTTTTTTGAATTTTATTTATTTATTTATTTATTTAGAGAGAAGGGGAGGGAGGGAGAAAGAGAGGGAGAGAAACATCAATGTGTGGTTGCCTCTTGTACATCCACTGATGGGGACCTGGTCTGCAACCCAGACATGTGCCCTGACTGGGAATTGAACCAGCAAACCTCTGGTTTGCAGGCCAGCGCTCAGCCCACTGAGCCACACCAACCAGGGCAGCTTTGGGCACATTTTGATGCTACATGCACAAGCTACTAAGTTTAGGTGTTAGTGTTTTCATTTTTTAACATTTAATTATAAAGTAATATATCCACATTGCAAAAAGTTTGACGAACCAAAAAAGAAAACCAACCAACCAAAACTACCACCACTCTACTGTAACTAAATAATCCTGGTTATATTTTGTTTTAAATTGGTCTCTCTTCAGTGAAATAATATTGCTATTATAAGGGTATTAGAATCCTCTGGGACTTGTTTTCTTTCCCTCAGTCTCTTTCATCCCTGTCTTTGCATGTATTTTTCGCCCTACCTCTGAATGTCTCTCTTCCTTGACTGTCTCCTTCCTTGCCAATCTTCTTTTCCTACTTTTTCTCCTTTTGTTAACTAGCTACAAAACGGAATTGAAATATATTTAAAATAGTATTTAAAATATTTTTTTAAAAAAATATTACCACTTTTTAATTTTTAAATGAGATGAGCTGATATGGAACATGGTCTGGCTATTTACCAATGAGGTAAACACAAAACTACCATATAACCCAGCAGTTCCTCTTTTGGATATACACCCAAAAGAACTGAAAGAAGGGACTCAGACAGATACTTGTACACCAGTGTTCACGGCAGCATTATCCACAATAACCAAAAGGTAGAAATAACCCAAATGTCCGTGGACAGACACATGAATAAACAAAATTGATTAATACATACAATGGTATATTATTCAGCCATAAAAAGGTATGAAATTCTGACATATGCTACAACATGAATAAACCTTGAAAACATCATGCTAAGTGAAATAAGCAAGACACTAAGGGATGAGGTACCATCCCACTTACAGGAGGTACATAGAAGAGGCCAATTCGTAGAGAGAAAGTAGAACAGCAGTTACCAGGGCCTGGTGGAGCGGGGTGGACGCTTACTGTTCATGGCGCAGAGCTTCTGTCTGCGGCCATGAAAAGCTTCTGGAAACGGATGGTGGTGAGGCCGCACAACATTGTGAACGTGCCTCACGCCACTGAGCTGTGCAGTTAAACGCAGCTAGGGTGGCAGGTTTTGTTAAGTGTGTTCTACAATTTCTTGAATGCCCAAAAAGTCAGATGGCTTGAAACTTTCACATATCTCAACGATTTTAAAAATTAAAAACATCAAGTAAATCCACATTGACTCACATAAAAATGTTACAATATATTGATAAGGGGATAACCAAATTGTCAAGTGATAATATCACATATCCTATGTTGGTTTAATACACACACACCTCCCAGTACTTACAATTTTATGGAAAAAGTGTTCAAAAAAATATATACTGAAGTATCAGCAGTGATTACCTCCAGGGAAAGGAGTAAGGGTTGAAATGCAGTTGTAGTGCTTAGAATATTTGTAAGAATGTACGAATTTTTTTTTAATGGAAATGCTTTTTTTTTAAAAACCATATGATAACTAAGGTCAACAAAGCCTACACAAGGCAGAGGTCTTGTAATGTACTTGTTTTTTTCAGGATCAGGGCTTAAACAGAATTAAAATTGCAAGAGTTAAACCCATATACATACATAGGGAGTTATGTAGCTTAAAGTTTAATCAAGACAAAGTTTTATAATTGTATTTATCATAAAACTCAGAAGAAAGGGGGAAAGATTAGTGAAACAAATTCCTTTAAAGGAAGATTACAGGCAGAATTAACTACATTTAAATTAAAAAACATAAAACACCTTTTACATCATGACAAAAAAAAAATGTATCTTACATAAAGTTTTTGAGACCATCTATATGCCTGATTAATACTGCATCAAGAAATACTATGGGACTAATTTTTTACTGATTAACTAGATTGCATAAAGATTGGTACTCACTCATTTAAAAAAAATACAAGTTGTTTACATAATCTGATTTAGGTGAAGAAAACAAAACTTACGTTTCAAAAATGGCAAAGATAAATAGGACCACAAAAAACAGAACATTGGTAGTCACAACAGCAACTTGGTCAATATTTCCTTGGGGAACCTGAACCTCATCTGTAGAGTGAACAGAAGAAAAATTATATTACCTAACCATGGTATGTTTATTACGACACAAAGTAAAACGTTTATGTAGCAAATTCTATGACTAAACATTTCAAATCATTTTTAGGCTTCCAAACAGCTTAAAAGTAAGAATTTTTATAACAGAAGTTAAAGATTTTTATTTACTTACTTTTTAGAGAGAGGGGAAGGGAGGGAGAAAGAGGGAGAGAAGCAGCAACAGTGTGAGAGAGACATCGACCGGTTCCCTCTCACACGCCCCCATCAGGGGACCTGGCTGCTGCTCTGACTGGGAATCGAACCGGCAACCTTTCGGTTCACAGGCGAGCTCTCAATGCACTGAGCCACACCAGCCAAGGCAGAAGTAACTTTTAAATGGTTTTTTAAAGTAAAGTAACTTTTCCCAGGAAATACATTTCAATTCTGTTATCTGTAGGAGATACTCTGATTGTCTATTTGATGTCTCTCAGTCCCAAAGAGGAACGTATTTTACAGAAGTCTATAAAATGATCTCATACTAAATACATTTGCTTTAAATTTCTGTTGCAGGTTTTTTTCTTTTCTTTATCTTACCTAAATCTTAAGCTTATGAGGATTTCATGAAGACCTGAAATAGTTTATTAAATCAGTTCTCAGTTCTATGATTCAATTCAATGAACATTTATTTTACTTTTAATTTCAATCGTATGTGAAATTAGTATTAGTAAATATCCTTATGTTATTAACACAATTTTTAAAGTCCTTATGTTATTTATATTTTTGCAAAGAAATATATTTTGCAGAGAACCACCAAGTTAGGATGGTTATTCTAAATCAGGAGGGCAAAACGAGGGTACTGACTTGTCTTGAACTGTGTAGTTAAGCTACACACTCAGTACAAAATATTCCTGATATAACTGAGAAGCATGAAGCCACACAGATCTACTTAGATACAGCCGTTACTCTACTTTAAACTTACCCGCATAGAGTAAACCAGGTAATAAAACAAGAACATGTTCATTTATGCTGTCTGTAAGTGTACGTGTAGCAACAGCAGGGGGCAGAACAGTGACTTTCTAAGACACAGCAGTTTCCACAGTTTTTTCCTAATAGTACTTGCCTTCATATCTCAGGATTTCTGAGTTCCTTTTCCAATGATAAATGAGAACTGGAAATAGTCTGCCATACTTAAGGCAAATAAGCAAGTACCTTGGACAAACAGGGTCATGACCTCCCTTTCTAATCATACAAAGAAAACTGTAGGAGATTGGCTCTTAAAAAACAAAACGAAGTGCTTTTTAACAATGGTTTTAACCATGCCAATTATGAACACCTAATAGCTGATATGGGTATGCTTTTTAAAAAAAAAAAAAAAATGTTAGGTAACTTTCAACTTTGAAGATCTGCCTTCAATCACCCCTGTGTTGTCTTCAGAAGCAAAATCCAAGTAAATACCATATAGAATTATTAGAAACACTATGATAATGTTGTAATTTAATCAAACAGGTTAGTAGTACCTTCATCAAAATTAATGTTTTTACATTCTCGTCCTGAGTCATCCACACGATGTTCTCTTAAAAAGAAAAGCAAAATATCGAATCAATGGTAGTATAATAGAAAAAAGTTTAAATTTATTACAGCCATCTATTTTTTCATATTCTGACACAGTTTATTTTACTTGCTTCTAAGTAATGAAATTATTAGCAATGAAATATAATGAATAAAATTTAAAAGATGCAAGTGATGATTCCTGTTACATTATCATAAAATTTTAAAAAAATTCATCCAAAAGTATATGTGATCTACCTTAATTGGTATTTGAAGTTTTGTAGTGATTTTCAACATTAGTTATAAATGCTTTTGGACTCTTGGTTAAAGCACCCCAAAGAAATATAAAGTAACCACATTTTTGTCGTTTTATGAAATTTCTTCTAATATATGAAAGACAGGCATTCGAATTAACTTTTTTAAGGTTGATACTAAGCACTAATTTACTTAAAATGTTGCTTTCATGCAATTTCTCTACTTAGAATCCTAGAGTTAATAAATCAAGAACAAACTTTGACTCTTCAAAGACCTCATAATCTGTTCTCATTTATCAAATTGTCTATTATTTTAGTTACGAGTACTTGTATTGGCTAATCAAAAAATATGAACACAACTATAAGCATCAAATACCACAGGAGTAATTATCCTCAGGAGTAATTACCTGTACAGATATGCAAACAGTATATAAACAATGGTAATGCCTACTTAATGTCACAATCTACAAAAGTGGTTTTATCATTTCTATCCAATTACCTTAATATAATAAGGATCAAGATAATATTTAAAACTCCCAGGAAGGCGCCAAGTAAAACCGGTGCTGTATACATGTTTATCTGAAGTTGTATAGTCTCCCATGTCACGCCCTTTTCTCCAATGAGTGCAAAACAGGTCTGAAAAACTTATTAAAATAAAATGTACACAGGTGAGTTATTATATGGGAGACACAGACATAAAAAATATGAAAGATGTTTATCACAAAATTGGAAGTCACATTATGAAATCATTCATCTGCATCACGCGTCTCAACAGAGGGGAGAAAAGCGGTTCTGGAAGAGGGGGAAGAACGTCCTCTCCATAAAGCGCAGATGCGCATCCGGCACATACACAACGCACAGTGCCTCTGTGGTGTTACAATTTTACGGGACGGAGTGATTAGGGAGACAAATGTCCAAAAAGGCTCCTTAGGGGGAGTCAATAATGAAAAAAAGGTTGAGAAACACTGATGTATATGAATTCACAAAGGATTATATCTAAAGTAACTTGTCAGTAACTTTGTTTTTTTAAAATCTCCGTAAGGAATATAAATTATATAATTTCTTCCATAAATCAATTATGAAAGTTTAACTAACTTCATTATAAGTAAGTGTCACATTTCAAGTAAATATTTTAAAATATTACTGTGTATATGTATTTAGTAATTTTACAATTTTAATAATTTAAAATTATAAAATTTTAAATTTTAGTAATTTAAATCTGGTTTTGCAGCAAAAATCAGACTGGAAGAATGCTGGTGTGCTCTCTTGATTTAGATTCTGTAATCTGGCTCTTCCAAAAACCTACATGTAATTTTAAGGTGAGGTTTAAAGTACGATACCGCACCTAAAGCACTTGGAGCAGCATCTAGTATATGCTCAGCAAATGCTAGTGCTTGTCGATGTGGTTACTATTGGGAAAGTCGTCTGATCTTTCCAGGCTTACATTTACTCATCTACAAAATAAAATGTTTCAATGAAATAATCTTGAAAATATTTTTTAGGTGGTGAAAATATTTACTGAGAGCCTAAGTGTATCCCAGGCACTGTGCTGGATAGCGAGGGTAGAGTAGTAAATTACAAAGACCCAGACTATGTGTTTATGTATTTCATATCATGGCAGTAGATCCAATTATTCTACATCTGTACTTTATTTTACTTCAGAATACTAAAATGAAATATTAGATATTGGTGAATGATGAATTAGATTCAAATCTGTTCAGCTTTCTCTTGGTTAACTAGAAAGAAGTAATGGAAATTGCGGTGACGGTGCCATGTTGTGAAGTAATAAAGTGGTGATATTCATAGTGTCAATTTTTCAATGCATGAGAAAGTTATATGGTTTCAATGTTATTCTAGGCATAAAAATTACTAATTTCTCAATTTAGCAAAAAATTGGCCTCAGGGAAGTATTAAATATCATTACTATTTTTTTATACTCAGATAAAGGATGAAAGCTTTGAAAGAGGAAGAAAATACCAAGTCTTTGAGAAATTCTTTAACTTTCTTCTACCAAGAAAAGTCTTAAAGGTATGGCAAAGGACAGAAGAGTAAAGAACCTCCTATAACTTTCCTTAAATCCTTCAGTCGAAAAAAATTTGTTTCTAATAAATGGAAAAAGAAAGCAAACTCTTGTAGATAGGTCAAGCTAGGTGATTTTTTTCACAGAACATGTATTTTGGAGTCAGACAGCATTAGGTTTGAACCTCAGATTTCCCATTTATTATCTGGCTGATACTGGAAATTTACTTAGATTCTCTATGCCTTGGCACTCTAATTGTAAAAGGGGACTAATATAACTTAGGGTACAGGAGTTAACTCACACACAGGGTGGGGCAAACGTAGGTTTACAGTTGCTCGTACGGAAAATAATACAATAATTAAAAATAATACAAGAATAAACTCTGTGTTTCACATAAAACTGTGAACCTACTTTTGCCTACACCCTATAAAGAACCCAGCCTCACTGCTGGCTCCGGAGATATCAGTTTCCCTCCCTTTCTCTTCAGCTGTGAGGTTTTATACTTGGATTTCATTTAACATTTGAACCTCAAAAATGTTCCCAAGTCAAAATCAAGTAATAAATTTGAAAAACACCTACCTGGACCTAGAATAAAACCTAATGCTTGACATGCACTCATGTTTGCCATGGAACTTGTTCTTTCCTGAAGAGAAGTAGCACCAGCAATATATGATCTAATAACTGCTACATTTCCTAAGAAAAGACACAATAGAAGAAAATATCCTTCAGCTGATAAAATTCAACTTAATCTGGCTTTATACAGAGGGAATATTAATCTAGTATAGCCATGTTTCCTCTTTATGATCATACAAAGCATGCTTATTAAGGAAATACATCAATTAATAGAAAAAACTACTTGTAGTAATATGAAAACACAGTTAAATATTTAAATGATTAAAAATGGCATTTTAGGAATGTTAAATTATTTTTCATCATTAAATACTGAGAAAGCACTGAGTGAATGGACTACTACTGATTGCTACAACTATTTTTAAAAGAAAGATGTCACAAACTGCATGTTTAGACTTGTAATATAAGAAATCCACTAGTGATGTAACTCAAAAATTTATTGAGCACTTACTATGTGCAAGAGACTTTACTAGGGGGCACAGAACATTATGAAAAAGTCAAACTGTCCGTAATTACAAAAAGCTGACCTTCTGACTGGTGACACAAGATTTAAAAAAAATGCAAAACAGCATATAAGCAAGGAGCAGGGCGGCCTAAGGAAGTTCACGGGAGGCGCAAAACTTGAACTGAATCTTGAAGGATGAAGAAGGATGGGAGCACAAGGGAGAAATTATAGGGAATGGGAGCCTCCCGTGCAGAGGCAGAATGACAGGGTGGTATCTTCACGTTGACAGCCACAGATCTCCATGCTGAACCATGCGGTATGAACGGAGAAGCGGGGATGTCAGGTGAGACTGGGTCATACATGTCAGGATGAATATGCATCTGACACAACTGAACATATACACACATGCATGCATAGTACCTGCTCCGAATCCCCCCAGGCCACGAGCGACCAGCATGTAGTATTTATTGTGAGAAGCTGGGACGTGCACATACGCATAGAGGCAGTTCGCTGCCACCGAAATGAAAATGGAGACAATGAGAGGCTCTCTTCTTGGTCTATGATTAGACCACAAACCAAATAGAGGGGAAGCTACCATTTGGCCAAGACTAAATGAGGCAATAACCCAGCCCAAAAAACTTGCATCAGCTGTCTGATCAACCTGCAGAAAAAAGTACAATGCTTTAAGAATTATTATCCAAAAAAAGTCAAGTTTAAAACATAAATACATTTTTCTGACCATGTAATATTTCCTGTTTAAAAAAATTTTTTAAATTCTACAAGTTTTGTGCCACTATTATTTATAGTAAGTGATTCAGATTGCTGATACAATTAAATGTGCTAACAATTCACTATACACAAGGGAAAATGCTTGCAAAGCTTTCACCTTTTGGAATGATTATGGAAATACTTGGTTCATAAAAATAGTGTTAAAAACGATAATCACATTAACATTATAAAGATAATATACCACTCTAATTCTTATTAATTCTTATGATATTGTTTTATCCTATGGTTTTCAAGATGAGCTCTAACTTACAGGCTAGCCACTATCTCCCTAACTTCACCTCTCTGCACATCCCCCGCCCCCCGCCCCGCCCCACTCCACCCAATTATAACTTCTAGCCAAATAGAACTTCTAAAGTTTCCAAAATGAGCCAACTTCTTTGCCCCTGGGCCTCTGCACAGGTTCCTCCACTGCCACCAGCAATACCTTCTACTTCTGGCCCCCACCTTGCCTTCAGGTAACCAATTTCTTTTAAAACTTAGCTCAGGTGTGCCTGATCTTGGAACGCCTCCCCGGTTCCCTTTAGTGTGGATTAGCAGCATCCCCGTCTCCCATGTCTCTCTCTGTCTGTATGTCCGTCCATATGTCTGTCTCGTCTCTCAATCTCGCCCCCACACCCCCACACATACTTTTAGATCATTACCCACTTATCTTGTATGAGTATTATCTGTAAATGTGTTTGGCTTAGCATATTTCAGTGAAAGTTGGATAATCTCCTCTAAAAAACAAAAAAGTCATGCGTGCCCTGGCCGGTGTGGCTTGGTTGGAACGTCAACCCATAACTGAAAGGTTGCAGTTTCGATTCCGGTCAGGGCACATACCTAGCTTGTGGGTTCGATTCCCAGTCTGGGTGTGTTCAGGAGGCAACCAATCAATGCTTCTCTCTCTCCCTTCTCTCTCTCTAAAAGCAATGAAAAAATGTCCTCGGGTGAGGATTTAAAAAACATTAAAAATAAACTAAAGTGCATGGTATTATATTTCAAAACATTCTTCTCTAAACAGGTTAATCAACAAAGTTCTATAAATCTTAATGCTTTTCCATGGGAGCTGAGATATGAATAAATAAAGGTGTTCCAAGCTTCCTCATCTATTTACTATAGATTATTGCTCATTCATTCAATTACTAGCCACTGAGGCCTGCACTGTGACAGAACTGTGCTAGGCAACAGGGATACAAAGATGAGTAAGCAGTTGCCGGCATCAGGGAGTGTCCAAACCATGCTCTACTTATCTGGTTCTGAAAAACCCTGTATTTGAGTAGCTGGGATTAAAAAAAAAAAAAGGTATGCTTTACTTCTTTATCTGTCAAATGAGGATAACTTGCTGGAATTGTTTGGAGAATTATTTGCGCCAATACATGTAGAGTGTTGAGGGCGATGTCAGCTATAGCATACTCTCGCTGAATGCTACCCAGACAAAATAAAACCCAGCATTTCTTAGCATATTGTTTCTACTAATATGCCAGTATTATTTTTTATTGTAACTCATGCATGAGAATTCCCACTGTCTCCCTGGGCCTATAACCTACCATGCCGATTCAAAATCTGGGTTTCAGTCCCATGTCTGGGTAGCACAGGCTGACGAATCACTGACCGGAGATCCAACTGAGATTTGCAGCACTGCCAACTCCTTTTAGACAGTTTACTCTGTTTGTTTGTTTGTTTTCTGTTGGTTTGTTGGCCCAGTTTTTTATCCTCAACAGGTGGCCTTTAAGGTAAGTAATATGGTAACATACTATCATCAAAAAGATAGTAGCCTTAAATTTAGAATTAAACATTTTAAGCTAGTAAGTAACATAGTAAAGTGGTTAAAAGTCAAATTTTGGTTTCTGATAGGCTTGGCTCTGCCATTTTCTAGCTGTGTGACCTTGGGCAGGGTACTTAACTTCTCTAAGTTTCTTCCCTGGTCAAAGAGGAGTGATAGTAACTACTTCACAGGGTTATTATGATCAAAAGGTGATTTCGGCGAAAGGTTTAGTATTGTGCCTGGCACATAGTGAACTCTCCATATTATTATGAAATAAATTGAGAAATTTTTTTTTAATTTTTATTTATCGATTGGTTTGAGAGAGAGAGAGAGAGAGAGAGAGAGAGGCATCGATTTGTGGTTCCACTTATTTCTGCCTTCATTGGTTCATTCTTGCGAGTGCCTTGACTGAGGATGGAACCCACAACCCTGGTGTATTAGGACAACGCTCTAACCAACTGAGCTACCCAACCAGAATGAGAAAATCAAGTTTTTTGGTGAAAATGTTGTATTTGTATTACTAAAGAATTAGTTATAAGCTTATGTAATTGATGCATTTATCTTTGAAGAGCTTTCAAATATCTGAAGAAAGGAGTAAACCTTTCCAAAATTTAACATATTGGGCTGCGTTGACCTAATTATTACAAATACCTTTTGAGAAGTTTAGGTTAATTAGACTAGATACAGGCACAATACAAATCAAGAGTTATGATATATAGAAATGTATTTTTAGCAAAGTAGATGTTGCTCTAGAATTGTTAAATATTGTTTCAATTCCAGTAACTGTTGGTAGGGAATTTTTAGTGTCATGGGTAATAGTTTCAGGTAAAATAATTTTTAAAATAATTTTCACAATAGCAACGCAAATGTGACACTAAAGCTAGTTTAGCTTTTTTTTTCCATTAGGTTAGCAGTATCAACAGGCTGCATTAGTAGCTAAGGGGTAGGCGTCCACCCGTGTGCCCCCGCCTGGTCTCACCAGGCGCCTCCTGTTCTCTGGGCACAGCACTCCTTCACTTCAGGGGTGTTCTGGTGCACAGCATGCGGTCCCCTTACTTGTAACCCTCTTTGGAGGAACTATTATCTTGAGTTATTCTAGCAGATTAAATCATAGAATATCAAAGAGATTCTAGAAAACTCTTAACTACATAAGGTTAATACTACCAAAGCTACTTAAGAGAAGAATAGATTGAAGTGTACAAACCTTTTGGAGATATGGCCATATTGACATTATCACAATGGAAAATCCTGTAAGAGGCAAACTCTGTTATTTATTCTTTCAATGATTCCATCACTATTTATAGATACAATTTTTTAAACTATAGCATGGATTTCAAAATATAACTCTGAAATTACAAACTTATGCCCCCAAAATGTCTATTTTATCAAACAATGTTGTTTTAGGCTTCAATAGAATATATAGTCCCTAGCCATAATTAATATAATAAAAGCCGAGTACCTATTTTTTCCTTTCTTGCAAGCCTTTACTATAAATGGAAATTACCAAAAGCTTTTTTAAGTTTCTATAGCAGAATCTGTATTGTTTGGGAGAAATTATTATCTGTAGGAAAGACTGGGGAGAAATAAAATGATTATCTAAAGGGGACAGTGGTTATAAAGAACCTGGGTACTTCAAAGATGGCCACACCTTAAAAGAAAATTCATTATTTCTGTTTGGCTTTATTGATTGAGAATTATAGTGATAAACTCCAATGCTATTTGTCAATTTTAAACACTAGGCACATCCAATCAAAAATCTGAAAAGTTTTTTTTTTTTTAAAAAGCTTTATTAAGCTACAGTTCACACATACTAAACAATTTACCCATTTAAAGTATACAATCAAGTGATTTAGTATAATCACAAATATGTGAAAGCATCACCAAAGTCAATTTTAGAACATTTTAGAGAGCCCTTTAGCTGTTACTCTGCCACCCTCTAGAAGAGCCAAATTCATGGAAACTGAAAGGAGAATGGCAGTTCCCAGGCTGGGAGGAACTAGAAATGAGTTGTTTAATGGGTAGTTTCAGTTTTGCAAGATGAAAATACACTGGATATTGGTTACACAACCAAATAGATATACTTAATATTTCTGATCTTAGAAATAGTTAAAGATGGTAAATCTTACATTACGTGGTTTTTACCACAATAAAAATAATTTTTAAAATTTAAATATTAAAATATATTTTATATGACTTTTTTAAATTATGTAATTTGTAATACTTACCTACACTGCTGAGAAACATAGTAAGATACAGAATCCTAATAGATCTCCATCGGCTCTTATAGTGCTCCTCAGTTTCTATAATATCCCATTCTCTAGGTGTAAAGAAGAAAGAAGTAGTACAAAGCTATCTCATTATACACAACTCTTTCTTTGACACACTTTTATTTTCTCTCTCCTAAAGTCAGGAAAATGGTATGATAGAGGTATAATTTACTAATATTGATTTTTGCTGTTACGAATCCATCTGTGAATACGCTTTATTTCCTTGAATTTCCATGAGTTGTATATATGTGTCAAACTTATTATTCAAGAATGTTGAAATTTGTTAAACTGACAAAATGAATAAAAATTTATCAAAATAAAGCAAATAAACTAGCTTCAACAATTAGATCTCCCACAGGTGGGATATACAACTACTGGGTATTTAAAGATAATTACTGCCATCATTAGGACTTGCTCCACCTGATGACAGAGAAGCTATTCTGGCTGGGTAATCTCGGCAAAATTAATGTAAAATGACACTAGGAAGGTTTGACGTGACCTAAGACGTTCCAAGCCTCAAAGACCAAGGCCGCTCCAGATTGGGCTGATCTTTCTTATAGGCCTGTGACCTGGACTAAAGGGCATGTATATTAACCAGACATCCTGCCTCTGTCAGGTGATACACTGAGTGTGTGTACTCATTATATTTTCATATATGCAAAAAGTTAACAAATTTACCTTAATATGAGAATTATGTTTTCAAATAATTAAGACAAGGAAATCAGACAAAATACATTCTTATACTCCAGACTGTTTTCTAAAATAGACTTTAGACTCAAATTAGTCTTCAAAAAAGAAACTTTCTTTTTTCTAATGTGATGTGACTGGGAGTGGTAGAGATGGAAGGAAGAAGAGAGATAACATTTATTAGACCTACTGTGTGCCAGGCATATTAAGTCATTTCCTGATACAATATATGCGTATGAAGTTCTTAACATTATATATGCCATTACAGAAAAGAGGTGCTTAGGACTTATTCAAACTTCCATGTTCCAACTTCACACAATTCTATTGAGTTTATATATGATTTTCAAACCAGCACCAAAGTAGAAGTCCCCTCCAAAAAAAGTTTGGAGAAGAGAAGTTGCTGACAGCAACAAAAACAGGGGTTGCCAGCAAATAACATAAACATGATGAGGGGATAGTCTGCCAGGAACAGAGCAGGCAAAAACTAAAAAGGCAGACGTAACACTTAAAAAATACAGCAGGGTATAATAAATGATATAAAAGCAAATAGTCCAAAATGCCTCAAAAGGCCAAGAACATCACTCTATTACATTGTTTTAGCACTGATATTAACTGTCATCTCAAGATAAAATTCATTACATATATCGTTTAGTAAATCAGGGACCAGAGAAATACATTTTCAATGAGTTTCTAAGTGGGTAAAGTAAGGTTTGTTACTTAATAGGGACAAATGAGCAAAAATTAACGTAGACAGCTTAAATTTAACTGTGTACTAGTTAATTTACGTGGTAATTATATGTTTCAAATAAAATGATACTGAACTTCGTTTTCCTAGAGGCAAAAATACATATCTGAGCAGTAAGAGACAAATTAACAATTTTAAATTACTGTCCATAAAAGAGCAAAATAACCAAAATAGTAAGGATCAAAATACACTTCATCACTTAAGTGCTAAAAAAATTACTCTTTTATTTATATATTTGGCACAGGACAAAGGTGAATCCATTTCAGGTAGGTTTACTTGCTACAAAGAATGAGGCAATTAGGTCAGTAAGAGCTGTGTGTTCAAGTAACAAAACCATCACTTCGGAATTTTTGTGACTTGTGCGAAGTGTTCAGCTCTGTAAAAGGCCAAATGCAGAATAGCTTGGCGGCTGCATCTGCAAAGTGAAGGTCCAAGAGGCACATCGAGTGCCTCCAACACCTTCACCAGAGCCCGCGGGCTCACGCGCCGACTCCGCCCTTTCTTAGCGGTGGGAGATCAACTTCCGGTCCGGCGCCACCGGCCGCCGGCCCCCGCGGCCAGCACAACCTTGTTTGCCTGGTATGGAGCCAGTCTCAATAGCGCAGGAAGGTTAGGGTGCTTCCCCCCACATCCGCTCACCTGCTTCCGGGTGTGCGGTCGCCTAAGAGCGGCTCCCGCTCAGACTGGGTCCCCAGGCCCGCCATAGTTACAGCACCGACTGGAGGTACGAAGCTAACTCTCGCGACACCTACTGCTCCTTCGCTTCCAAATCAGCCAAAGCTGTCAAAACAATCCAGACAAGTGCGCGTGCGCGCTCCGTGGCCAAAAGTGGGTGGAGTGCCCCCGGTCAGAGACGGCACCCAGCGGAGCTCGGGGCGGGGCGTGAGGCCTCTGGGGCGGGGCTCTGTGTCCTAGTCCTCCTCTTTTGGGTCCGCGCCTGTCGGGCTCGAGCGACCGCCGGGAGGCGAGCGGAGGAGTGCTTAGGGGCGTGTCCAAACGGCCACCCCGCCCAGGTTCTTGGGTTTCCCTGGGCTCTGGTCTGAAGCCCGAGCTCCTGCGTTCCTGGAAAGGCTGCTGTGCCCGCGGTGGGAGCTCGGACAGAAGGAGGGTACCGGGAGGCACAGCAGCGGCGGTGCTGGGAAACTCGGCCGGCTGAACAGCAGGCTCTCGCCGACCGGCCAGTGAGTAAGTCGCGGGTCCAGGCCGCGCTTCGCAGCCTCTCGACGCGCGGCGTACGTGCCAGGTGTCAGGGAGTGGGGTCGCGTGGCCAGGCCGGAGACCCCGGGGGCCGGCGCACGGGGCCGGGCCGGGGTCCGGGGCGTGCTTTGGCCGGCTCGAGTGAGTGGGCTGGCGCGCGGTCCTTTACCCCGTGGAAGGTGGAAGTGGCTGCGCGCTCTTTTTCTCGCTCGTCTATCTACAAAGGCAGCGCTCCGACAGTGCCTAGTTAGGGCCTGGATGGGACCCAGAAGGTGGGGTCCAGCCCCTGTTAATCTCCAGGTCTCCAGATCTGCACCCCACCGCCGCCTGCGCCGGCTGGGGTCTTCCGCAAAGCCTGCTGCCTTAACCTGGGTTTAGAAAAGGCACAGCAGAGGCTTAGCAAAGACCAGCTCCTTCATCACAAGGAAGGTGACATTTTTAGAAAATATGTTCTGGGTCACCCTTCACCCACCCCAGTAGACCTTGATGCTGTCTTTCCTGATGTTTACATATTAACATTGTACCCTTGCAAGTAGGCTTGTAAGCTAATTGGTAGCTGTAGTCATGCGTGTCATAATTACTGTTTTATTAGTACTATTATAATACACTCTCATGTGATTTCATTTGATCACAACTGTCCTGTGACACATTTCTATTTTACACAGAAGTAAGGTCCAGAGAAATTAATAACTTACCCAGAGTCATTCGGTGCGGTAGTGGCAGAACCTTTCTTTCAATACATATTTATGAGCACTTAGCCTATGCTGTGCTAGTTAGTAATACGTTGCGTGGTATGTGCCATCAGTTCTGATCTTTGTCTTGTCTGTGACCTTTGGTGTATCCTATCAGATCCATTCCGCTGGTGAAACTTCACATGTGTTGTCTATTAGTTCAGAATGATCTTCTGAATCCAGAGCTGACATTTCGTACCTAGATTCAGCCTTGCAAATTTGTTTGATCATAGCTCGCAGAAATATATCAGATTCCTATGATTAGTTCCAAGAAAGTACATAGATTAAAAAAAAATGAGTAATTTCTTTTTGCTATAATGTTGCTTATTGTCAGCTGCTTTTTTAATCCCTGGAGACAAGTACAGTGTATGGGGGGAGGGTGTGTGTGTGTGTGTGTGTGTGTTACAAAGGGATTTTTAACCATTATTGCACCATACAGAATAGTTGCTAGTTGAATGAAGGCTTATAGAGTTACCTCATTTCATCCCTGTAACAATCCTTGGAGGCTGGGTTGTCTCAAGCATGCAGGGAATTTGAAAGCATGGAGCTTAAGTAATATACCTAGAGTCACGCAGCTAATAAGCAACAGAGCTAGAAGCTAGAAGAAATATAGGACGTCTCACTGTAAAGCCTGTGCTTTTTACCACCAGCCTTCCAGTGAAAAGAATGTGAAGACTATTTTCCATTATCTCTTAAAATAGATCAGAGAAGGTAATCAATTTTATATAAGTGAAATAACTTGCTATTATGTTTCAGGCCAAGTATAATGCCCCTTGTATGGATTAAGGTGGCTTACTCAAGGTCACACAGCAAGTGGAAGAACCTAGGCCTTCTGACTCTACTATTTTCCATTGCTGCCTCCAAGAGATGACTTTGAACCACAGAAGCACATGGAATGGAGTGCTTGTGAACTTGGTGAAATCTAAATAAACTCTGTATATTGACCAATTGTTAAAAGAAAAAGTTATTTCTTAGGAACACACACATAGTACCCCAAGTAACCACTTCTAAGAAACTTTTTAAAATTATATTTTTAAAAGCTCATGGAAAAGAGGAGCTAAGTTTGAAAAGAGGTTAGATTATTTGCTGAATGTTTCACATAGGATTCGAGACAACCCACCTCATGGGTTTTCTTAGATGGCCTCCTAAAACAGAAATTCATCCCTCTAAACAATGAAAAATAAACTTCCAACCTTCCTACTCTTCTCCTGTATCAGACTAAAAAGAGTTAAACTCGCTGAGGTAGGCGAGTAGATTTGAATAGTGGATATATGCTGTGGCTAAACCCTTTTATTGCTCCTTAAACTTGTATTGAAAATAAATAATTCAAAAATAAAGGTACAATATAAAAATTAGGTCTCTATTTTTGTGGAGTAGACTTGTACATGGTGGTATTTTTTAAAAAAATCTTTTATGATTGTGAGATATGTATCAACTATATGAAGATAAAAGTCCAGAAAACATCGGGGTTGCACTGTTTGAATGCTTAAGTGCCAAAGTGATAGGAGATAAAAGGACTAGATGCCATAAGAGCTGCTGAGTGCCACTCGCCATAGAGCTCATTTTTAGGAAAGACTTTTTATTCCTTGGCACTGTATGAGAATTTCTGTTTCTGTTTCACTTTGCCTTTTCCCTGTCTCATTGGCTATGAAAGTATAGGTGACAGTTATGTCAGTCTGTCTTGATACATACTTCAAAAGTGGGTCCTGTTTCAGCAGAAGCTCACTCGTGTCAGACTAGCCTGATGCGGGGGCTTTAAGTATCTGGTACGGCTCCAGATGTTGCCTCCTTTTGGTAAATGGTGTTATCTTCACCCCGGGCTGGGATTATTCTCTCTTCATGGTGGCACTGGATAGCAGTTGGTTGTGCCTAGAAAGATCTACATTTAGAGTGCCCCAGAAAACCTAGTCTTTATATGTTGTTCTTGGGACTGAAATGGGGTTTCAGAAGATCTGTGCAAGCTAAGTGCGTGTCTGATTTGCTTTCTGTTCTCCATGATCAGTGGTTTGCTGGCATGTAAATACAGCAAGGGATGTGCTGGCTCTAGATTTGGAGAGCTGACTCCGATCATCTATGTCACATGGAAGGAAAGCGACTTGGATGGCTTTTCTAGTATAGGGATGAGAATTAGAAATGACTAAACAATTTTATAGTAGTTTACAAAATATTTGAAGAGTTCACTGTTCTCAGGTTCTTTCCCGTTTCCCTTGTAACCTCCTACTTTTATGTTTGTCTTACTTCTTTTTAATCTATTATCAACCTAGAAGAATATTATCTAGAAAAATGGTATGTCTCGCGACCAGTTTAGTACTTCTTACTGTAAAATGAATGTTGCCATTTGGGCTTTTTTTTTTAACACTAACATGGAGTGTGTTTATTGCCGTTGATGCCATGGGTGTCGCGAAGGAAGACATCGAACCCCCTTCCTTTTCCTACACTATAGAGAACATAAGTGGCCTATAATACTTCCAAGAGACAACGAAGTCCTGTGTTATAATGACATGCCACTGTTCTATTGCAGTTTAATAAATGTACACAAAAATGTATCCGTGTTTTTTTTTAACAATTCCAGAATTACCTAAGGAGTGAAATAATTAGAAGTATCATTCATGTCTCAGAATTGTCTTTCCTTATGCTATAGAACCCCCCTGAATAGAGTTACATATCTTATTTATTTTTTTAAAAAGAGGGGGCTCGGCTTCCTCATTGCAATACGGAGCCCTAATTCAGAATTTTGGTCATTAGGGAAGAATGAGCTGTTCCATTTTCACCCCGCGTGCTTCAGTTCAACTCCAACGTTAATCAGTCACACATCAACACCGCGGGAGTTAGCACAGATCCCGTGTGTTAAGGGCTCAGTCCTCCGGATGCACTGCTTCCGATGCCATCCACACTCTGACTTGGCTACAAGTTTGGGGGTTCCTGTGCATCCTGTGGATTGATAATTTGCTGGAACACTCAAAGAACTCAGGAAACCACTCTACCTATGATTACAGCTTTATTACAAAGGATACAACTTAGGAGTTCACTACACTTTGTTGTAGTTGTTGCTGTTTATTGTAGTTGTTGCTGTTTAAGTTTTTATAAACTGAAGTGTAACTTAAAAGTGTACAAGTCATAAGTATAAGTTGGTCCACTTTCACAAAATGAACAACCTGTGTTTCATATGATGTGAGGGTTACAGTTAAAGGTGCTGGCAAGGAGCAGGAAAGGCCGCATTTTTTTAAAAATCAAAATTTTTACGGTCTTCAGAGATTAATCAGACAGAAGATGCGCGAACACAAAAAGGGAAATGTGAAAAAAATGTGACATGTAGAAATAACGTAGAGGGTCTGGACAACCTGCAAGCTAGACGTGCTCCTTGACTGGGAATTGAACCCGTGACCCTTTGGTGCATGGGACAGTGCTCCAACCAACTGAGCCACCTGGCCAAGAAAATAGATGAGAATTCTTAAAGCTCATTGATGGAAACACACGTTTCCGTCTTTCATTTTTTAAATAGAATAAACCCTGAACCTGAATCAGGTTTTTCCCAAAAATCAAAACTACACCATTCAATTTGAAAAAAACAGTGGTAAATATTAAAAAGCAAAACAAAAACTTTAAAACTACTTGGGAAAGGTAGATGCTGGTACACAAGTAGTAGCATTAAGCATTACTTTGCGTGCACTGGAGTGTAGTAGACAATGTTTATAGTATTGGATCTTGAGCTGTGTGCCTGGGATTCAGGCCCAGTTCTGCCTCCCACTTGCTGTATGACCTTAGGTAAATCACCTATCCTCTCTGTGCCTCAGTTTCCTCATCTTAGGGTAAATCGATCCTTCTTTACAAAGTTGTTGGGGGTGTTAAACGTGAATGTGTGCTTGTGTATGTGTGGTTTTCTGAATGGTTCCTGGCAAATAATACAGTACTGTATAACTGTTAGCAACTACTATTTTTGGTCTTTTTTCTTTTCTTTTCTTTTAGCCACTACTATTGTTATCCAACAAATATTGAGTATTTCTGTCAGTCACTGTGCTGAGGATGGGAAGTTCTTACGCTAGAGGAATTCACAGTTTAATGAAACTGAGGGTTCTATTTCATCTTCTGTACTTTCATCTCAAATGTACTTCTTTTCTGTACCTCATATCTTATTTGCAAAAGAATAAATTAAGGGTTTATAGTTCAATCTCAGTATTTAATTTTTCTTCCCAGTTTCATTGAGATATGATTGATATATAATATAAAGTACATAAAATAATGATTTGATATATGTATATATTGTGAAATGATTACTACTGTAAGTTTAGTTAAACTAAACTTGATACTTCTTTCCTTGTGATGACTACTATTAGGATCTATAAAATAAATTAGTTCTGGAGATGTAATTTATAGCATGGTCACTATAGTTAGCACTACTATATTATATATTTAAAAGTTGCCAAGAGGATGGATCAATCTTTAATTTTTACCTATGTAAAGAGGTTAGGAAACTGACGTGCTGCATGAAATAAAATATTTTAAAGTCATTTAAAATTTTATTTCATAGATGTTTGTTTACTACTGATGGGTGTGAGCAAATTAGATGTTCTATACCGGAGACTTCTCCTCACAAAACTTTTTATCAGAGGATGGGGGAGACCAGAGGATCTTAAAAGGTAAGCATTTTTTTCTGAATGCTTGTTCTGACTTTGTTTTAGTAAACTTTGAAAATTTTACTTTGGCCTTGGCCAGGTAACTGAGTTAGTTAAGAGTGTTGTCCGCTCCAGTACCTCAAGATTGGAGGTTCGATCCCCAGTCAGGGCACACACACGAATTGACCAATGAAGGCATCAGCAAGAGGGACAACAAATCAGGGTTTCTCCCTCTCCTTCCTTTCCTTCCCTCTCTCTCTCTCTTCCTCTCGCACTCCCCGTCTTCTCTCTTTCTCTAAAACTAATTTTAAAAAAGAATAAAAATAAATAAAATTTTATTTCACTTTTAAAGTCCTTTGCTATATATATAAAGTGATTGAAAAATTAAGCATTAAACAATATAAAAACAAATTATTTCCTTTTTTCTCTTTAATTATTTTTCTTATTTTACCCATATAAATTGAACTATTTTAAAAGTAATTTGATTGTAAAAAGATAAAGAGCTCGTGGAAACACAAACAAGATTTTTAACTGTAATAATTTCTAGTTGATTAGAGTTTCCAGGGACTGAGCATTCTTGGGTAAACTGAATTTGTAATGACTACAAAGCTGTAGCTCATGGGAATATCTGGATTTAAGAAAATAAATTTTTAAGTTTTGTGCCTTTAATTTTGAGTCATAATGTTAATTACTTTCTGAACAATGGTATTTCTCACATGTTTTTCTGAGATAAAATGTCCAGCTTGCAAAAAATCAAGAGCCTAATTTTTTCTCTGAGATTGAAACTAAATTGTAACGTGTTTTATGAACTGGGCTTGCTAATTTTTACTCACTATTCATCAGTCTCAACATGTGGCTATATTGAATCTTTTCCGTTTTTCCCCTTACCAAAACAGACTCTTTGAATTCAGAAAGATAATTGGAAATCGAGAAAAATGTCAGAATCTGGTTTCAAGTGATTATCCAGTATATATCGATAAGGTATGCACATAAAATAAATGTAATTATAGAAATTCTGATTTAACGTACATATGTGGCAAGAATAGGTTGAGTGTGAAGAGTATAATAACAGTAAACATTAAAACGAGTACAGTATAGATTTTTCTTTTAATATTTTAAAATGCTGTATGTATTCTAACAGGATGCTTATAATAGTTAATATTCATTTATATTTGGGAGCATATACTTGCCTTAATATAAGAAAGAAAATATTTAGGGCTGGATCTTTTTGAGCCTCATTTTTTATCTTTAAGTTTATGGGAGTCAAAATAAATTATTCGACATTTCAGAAGAAGTGGAAGTAACACAGGGAAGCACTCTAGTTGGAGAATTACTACAGGAGAAGTTATTAGCAAAAACAACCATTAAATATCAAGAAGTGGCATGGGATATAATTAATTGCTGAGAAAATGGTAGAAAGAAAAATGCTATAAAATTAGAGAAGATAAGAAAATATACAGCAGGTCTTTGAATAATATAATTTTGTTACAGTGTAATGAGATACTCTAGGAACTTAACTCTTATTTAGCAGCCTGAGCTAAAATTGGTTTCCTTATACATTGTTTTCCTAAAGTCACAGAACCTATCCACAACATTAGGTAAGGGCCTACTGTATTTGAAATAGTTTTGTTTTTAAGCAGCCACATGCTTTTCTGTAAAATATTTCTAGGTTTATGTACTTGGATACTATCTGGGAAGGGCTACAAATGGGTGGGCTTCACATCCCTCCCTGCCCACAACCAAGTAACTGCACTTGCCTCACTTTCACATATTGGATATCTTTAGAAGATTTCACTTTTTGTGTCTGGCTTATTTCACTTAGCAAAGTTTGAGGATTCTCTGAAGCAGGTGCCAGTATTTAATTCTTTTGTATGGCTGAATCAATGGATATATGATATTTCATTTATCCACTTATCACTTGATGGACATTTGTGTGGTTTCTGCTTTATTGACTATTACACGTGATAATGCAATGGACATTCTTGTACAAATGTGTTTGTGGATATATGCTTTTAATTCTTTGGATCTGTACTGAGGAGTGAAGTTGCTGGCTGATATGGTAATTCTAAGTTTAACTTTTTAACAAACAGCAACTGCTTTTCCAAAGCGCACCACTTCACGTTCCAGCTAGCAGCGTCTAAGTTCCACTTTCTCCACATTCTCATTAATATTTGTACTTCTCCTGGCCATCCTAGTGTGTGTGAAATGTGTTTTTTGTGGTTTTGTTATGTTTTTCCCTACTGACTGGTGTTGAGCATTTTATGTGCTTATTGGCCATTCGTGTATCTTCTTTGGGGAGATATTTATGAAATACTCGGCCTGTTTTTGATTGGGTTATCGTCTTTTTACTGTTGAGGTGTAGCTTGCTTAATTTTTAAATCTGTATTCGGTATGGCTCTAAAATTGCTTTTTTTCTTACCAAGTTCCCAATTATCTCAACACTGTTTGTTGAATTATTATTCCCTTTATGTAAGTTTAAACTACTTCCTTTAACAAATAATTTGTTTTTCTAAAATACATAAGAAGAAAACTTTAAAACTATACTTGCAGGCACAGTGATGACTAAAATGTAAAGATGGATTAAAATTTTCACATTACACACATCTTAGGTCTTTGTACCATTTGTAAAAAATGCAGTACAGTCACAATTACAACATTCAGTTTAGAACTTAGGTCCATAAACTCTCCTAAAATTACTTTGGGATGAGTCGTGAGAACACAATCAGATCAGGAATACCTGAAACAGAAGACTAATAAGTAAAAACTGGTTCAGTCACATATCAGTGGGTATTATAAAGCTTCAGCATGATCAACACAGCATGACATTGGTTCAGAAATACAAGGCTAATAGCTAATAAAGGATTGAAAATAACATGTCAAAATTTATGAAATTTATTTCAGAGTAAAGTTGCATTTTATGTCACTTGCAAAAAGTGTGGATTATTTAATAAATTAGGTTGTCACATTGGGTAGAATTTTTGTTTTAAATAAAGCTGGATATATATGATGTCAGCAGACACATGTTTTTCTGTTGTTTGTTTTTTATTTTAATGAAAATATGTGGATCTTTACTGCTAATTTAATTTTGACTATTGGCCTGATAAAAAAAAATTTTATTAAAAAAAAAAAATACTGGCCCTGGCTGGGTAGCGCATTTGGTTAGAGCATAGTCCAGTACGCCAAGGTGGTGGGGTCAGTCTTTGGTCAGGGCACATGCAAAAAAGCAACCAACGAACGCATGAATAAGTAGAACAACAAATCTCTCTTTCTTTCTCACTCAAAAAAATCAATTAAAACTATTTGAGAGGAAAAAAATTTTGGCATTGAACATTAGGAAATGCCTTTGCTATATATGTAAATATCACATTTCTCCTTATTTAATGTGTTGACATGGCTATTTCATCAATAGATTGCCTGAAAATGAGCCATTCTAACACAGTTGATATCAACCTTTATTTAATTGTAGTAAGTTATTTTTACAATTGTAAATTGTTATGTTCTTCTAACTAGTACTTTATTTGGAGTTATTGCATATCATTCTATAAATGAGGTTGATTTGTAGTTTACTTTCCCAACTAGGCTGTAGTAAAGGATATAGAAGGAAAGGGAATGTGTGCAGCAAAAAGGATACATACTAGGCCTTGGAAAAGTTTTGAATTGAATGGACATTTTTTATGGAAAGACTTCTATCTAATATAGACCAAGATATCTTAGTTTACATGTATACATCTTAGTTTTGCTTTTCATTTAGATTGAAGAGCAGTCAGACTGTAAGATCCTGGATGGACACTTTGTCTCCCCTATGGCCCACTATGTGCCTGATATCATGCCAATTGAATCTGTTATTGCAAGGTAAGAATTTTTATTCTGAGAGTTAAAGTGCTAATTTGTTTATGTCCATTTAAATTATAATAATATTGCCCTGGCTGGTGTGGCTCAGTGGATTGAGAACTGGCCTGTGAACCGAAGGGTTCCCAGTTTGATTCCCAGTCAAGGCACATGCCTGGGTTGCAGACCAGGTCCTCAGTAAGGGGCGCATGAGAGGCAATCACACACTGATGTTTTCCTCCCTCTCTTTTTCCTTCCCTTCCCCTCTCTCTAAAAATAAATAAATAAAATCTTTTTAAAAATTAATATCAATGCCATGTTATTTGAAATTACTTAGCATTAATTACAATAATTAGTTAACATTATGCCCATTAAACATGGGGTAGAGGGAGAGTGAAATCATAGAGCTTTGGTATGCATTTGAACGTAAGTGGTTATAAGCTAAAAATATATTATAAATATAAGATGTTTTGTATAGTCTCGTGATAACCACAAAACTAAAATCTCTAATAGAGGAACAAAAGAGAAACATAAGAAATGCATCGCCCTGGCCAAGTGGCTCAGTTGGTTGGAAAGTTCCCCTTACACCAAAATTTTGCAGGTTCAGTTCCCGGTCAGGGCACATACCTAGGCAGCGGGCTCTGTCCCCAGTTGGGGCACATATGGTAGGCAACCTTTCAATGTTTCTCTCTCTCTCTCTCTCAAATCAATAAACACATCCTTGGGTGAAGACAAAAAAAAAAAAAAGGTAAAGATTGAAAGGGTCAATCTAACAAGAGGATATAACATTTGTAAATATATAGGCAGCCAACATAGGAGCAAAATATATAAAGCAAATATTAACAGACCTCAGGGAAGAAATAGAAAGCAATACAATAATAGTAGGGAACTGCTATTTTAAAGTAGGGAAAGTGCCCCACTTTCAAGGATGGATAGATCATCCAGACAGAAAAATCAATAAAGAAACTTTGGACTCAAACTACATTTTAGATCAGATGGACTTAACAGACATTTAGAGAATATTGTATCCAACAGCCGGAAAATACACATTCTTTTCATGTACATAGGGATAATTCTCCAGGATAGGTCATATGTTAGGCCACAAACAACTTTCAACTAATTTAAGGAGTTTAACATCATATCAGAAATGTTTTCTAACCATATTGGTATAAAACTGGAAATCAGTTATAAGAAGAAATCTCAAAAATTTACAAATGCGTGGTGATTAAACAATGTAATACTAAACCAGTGAGTCAAAGAATAAATAAAAAAAATACCTGAGCTAGGCCGTGGCCAGGTATCTCAGTTGATTAGAGTATAGTCCTGATATACCTAGGTTGTGGGTTCAATCTCTGGTCAGGGCACATACAAGAAGCAACCAATGACTGCACAACCTAGAGGAACAGCAAATCAGCATTTATCTCTCTCCCCTCCCCACAACTTCTCCCCCTCTCTCTCTCTTTCTCAAATCAATAAATTTTTTAAAAGATTTTAAAAAATACATTGAGACAAATGAAAATGAAAATACAACATACCAAAGCTTATGGAATATAGCAAAAGCAGCTCTAAGACCAAAGGTCTTAGGGATGAACACCCATATTAAGAAAAAAGAAAGATCTCAAATAAGCAACCTAAGTTTACACCCCAAGGAAATAGAAAAAGAAGAACAAACTAATCCCGAAGTTAGAAAGAAAATAGCATAGATCACAGCAGACATAATGAAATAAAGACTATAAATGTAATATAACAGATCAGTGAAGCTAAGAGCTGGTTTTTTGAAAAGATCCAAAGGAGCCAAACTTTTAGCTAGATTTGCCAAGAGAAAAAGGCAAATACCATATGCTCTCACTTACATGTAGAGTCTGAAAAAAACAGACCTCAAACTTATAGATAGAACAGACTGGTAGTTACCAGAGGCGGGGGATGGGGAGGCTGGCAAAATGGGTGAAGGTGGTCAAAGTGTACAAACTTTCAGGTATACAACAAGTCTTAGGGGTGTAATGTACAACATGGTGGCAATAGTTAATAATTTTGTACTGTGTATTTGAATATTGATAAGAAAGTAATTCTTAAAAGTTCTCATAGCAAAAAAGAATTTTATAACTGTTGATAAATGTTAACTAGACTTATTGTGATCATATCACAGTATATACATAATATTGAATCATTATGTTATACTCCGGAAAGTAATATGTTAAATGTCAGTTATATCTTTTTTTTCCTTAAAAAAACCCAAAAATTTTTGGAAGCTGGAAATGGGAAGCCATCAAGATCTACATGCAAAAGGTTACCCCCTCCCAAAAAACCCTGAATTTATTTATAAAAAATTGTGTAGTTATTCTTACATGTTTAAACTTCAGTCACCTTCAAAGTACTCTCCATTTGATAAACATCTATCAAGACATTTTTTTCACTGCTCAGAACAGTTTTTGAACTCGTCAATTTTGATGCCTTTTTGTGCTTCTGACATTTTTGTTTTACCTCTTCCACATCGGCAAAACATTTCCTTTGAGGACTTTTTTCATCTGGGGAAACTAAAAAAAAGTCACTCAGGGAGGGTGGGGCACAGGGGTCATGCTGTTTTTGGTCAAACACAGCCGAACACTCAGCGTGGCGTGGGCAGGTGCGCTCCTATATCACCCATTGTGAATTGGCAAGTATGTTGAGTCTTCAAAAAGAAACTTCACTGAAGCCAAAGGAGGCCTCTCACAACAACACCAGCTTGTACGCTGATACAGTGGGTTTCTAGAATGTTCACTTAGGCGGGGAAGCCTGTATTACCAAGGGGCCTGCCCTCCAGAAGATAATTCTGGGTTTTTTGGGGGGTCCCCCCTAGTAGATACGTCCTTTCGCTGGGTGCTTCATTGTGTCTTATCTCTGCTTTATGACTCATGTGCATGTCATTTTTCTGTGGTTAGGCTACCTTTCTCTGTTTTTCATGCAACTGACAAGAAAATAGCTTTCACAGCCCCACAGAACTCTAATTAGCATCTGTCTTAATTCCTGGTTATCAAAAGAGTGAATCTTACTGCCCTGATTTGGCCTACACCTGGCCCAGTCCTTTCTGGCCTGTACCCATTCGTCCTGTGAAAAGATGATATAATCTGAGCAAACTTACTAATGAGCCTGTACTAGATGAGTGGTCAGTTGGTACTATAATAAGAAATTCTGTTAACTTCAAGCTGTTCTCCAGTAATGGAGTCTCTAAATCCATTGCCATGGGACAAAATAAAAGTACAAATAATCACAGAGATGTCCCACTTTATATAGGAAACATTTTTTAATGTGTGTATTTCCCCAAAATCTTCAAAATATCAAGAAGTAGGATAGTGCTAAGAATGCAAAATGAAGGAGAGTTGTTAACATTGATAATTTTTATTATGAGATTGAAAATTGAGAGTTTGTTCCCATGAGCACAGAACAGAAATAATCATTGAAACCATCCTAAATGTAATTGTCTATGTCCTAGTCAACAGTTTATTGACAACAGATTGCTAGTGATATTGTCCCTTACCAAGCAGAATAAGCTCAGAATTGCAGTTCCTGTAGTCTGAGAATGCAACCCCTGAAGGGTTATATTTTCTAAGAATAAATCATATACATTGATGTCTCTCCCATAAGAAAATTCATTATGCATTTGTAAAGTTGTAGTGTTAAACAAGGTAAAAAATAATTACAGTAAATTCTGTGTTTCTGTTGTAACTGAATACATAAAGCAAATTTACAGTATCTTTGTTACTTTTAGGTAAACATCAGTTTAATTAGTCAATTACAATTTTAGTATCAAAATTCAGAAGATCTTTTCTCCCAAATAATTAAATTTTGCAATGTTTAAGAATTGAAAGTTTGTATCAAAAGCCCTTCAGAGCTAATTTACTGATATGTTTTATTTTAAATAGGTTCCAATTTATTGTGCCTAGAGAATGGAACAGCAAATACAGACCCGTGTGCATCCATCTGGCTGGAACAGGAGACCATGTAAGGCTTTATTGTACCATGCGATGCCTAGGCTGCCCGCGCCCCCTCCTCAGCAGACGTGGCTCTCAGAGCCTCACGCCCGCTGTCTCTTCCCCCCCCAGTATTACTGGAGACGGCGGACCCTGATGGCTCGTCCTATGATTAGAGAGGCCCGGATGGCTTCTTTGCTGTTAGAAAACCCTTATTATATCCTTTTGTGATACTGGGAAATATTTTCTCTTATTTATTTATAGATTTAGTCATCAAAAGGAATGATAGACAGTAGCCAACTTTGCCAACTTTTCTATATCCATTAAATTTAGCCATCAGTTCCGAAAATACTTAAGCAAGAATGAAGTAGAAAATTATTTCATGCCTTTTAAAAACTGAAGTAAGGATGGTTCTTCTCTTGTGTTGTACAATAGAAGTAAACTGTACTTCTGTTGGCTGTGAGACTTACGCTGCATTTTAATATTGGTAACTCAAATGTTTGCTATTAAGGAAACCCTCAAGTTTTAAATGCTTTACGTTTAAGTATCAGTGGAGGTTTAGAACAGTTCTTAACTTAATTTTCAAGATGACGGCAGACTGTGCCCAGAAGAAGAAATGAAACTGATGCACTGTTATTAAAGAAATGCTCACCATTGCTGGTAATAAGAGAAATGTAAAGCTAAAGCAACAATTAACAAAGATTTCAAAACAAGACAGTAATTATGAGGTTTTTGTGAAATGGGCACTCTCATTACTGATGAGTGAATATCAGTTCAACCCTTTGGGGGAACATTTTTACCATATTGCATCAAGAGCGTTAAAAAGTTTCATATCCTTTGGCAGAGTGATTTTCATTCTGGGAAATTATTCTAAGGATGAAATACTAAGAAAAGAGAAAAATGATAGAAAAGAGAAAAGATATCTATATAGCTTTATTTATCATAGTGAAATATTAGAAATAGCTTGAATGTCCAAAGTAGCAACATGGTTGAGAAAACTGTTGAGAAAACATAATATTGGAATATGATGCAATTGGCTGTGTAATGTTTATATTGCTCTAATACTTATTACCTGCATAATCTTGAACTTGTTACTTAACCTTTTAGTACATCATTTTTTTGTTCATAATGGAAATAATCTCGTAGATTTTTCAGAGTATTAAATAGTTAATACTGTCTGGAACATTGGTAAATATTGTGTTCAGTAAATTTTAACAGTTATTAAAAAGTTTACAGCAATGTATTTATGCGTAGGTATACAGAAAACCTAAAAATAAAAAATCCAATAAAAAAACTGCCAAAGAAAAAATAGTGGAAGAAAATATAGTGAGATGTTAATACAGTTGTCTATAAATTAAGTAGTTTTTTTTTCTAGTAAGCCTTTCTGTATTTTCTAAGGTTTTTGTCACTTTTATGAGTTTGTCTGAGCCAGCCTGACAATATATGCTGCAGAGCAAGAGCTCACACACTTTCTTCTGAGTTTTCTATCATAAATACATGAGTGCGGAAAATTAATAAACAAGTTGAAGATTGCACAACCCAGCAAATACACTAAAAACATTGAATCGTACACTTCAAATGTGTAAAATGTGTGGTATGTGATACTATCTCAATGAAACTAGAAAAAAAAAAGAAAACAATTATTGATTTGAGAAGCCTGAGCACTGCTCAACAGCATATTTGAGGTAACTACAAAATAGTTATTTCAGTATTAACTTCTCTTTCAACTTAAATTATTTTAAGTTACTGTATTTTGATACACAGAGTATATTTAATTATTTTAAAACTTTCTCTTTGACCCACATTCTTAAATGGCTGCAGGAAACCCAAGGACCAAATGTAAGTATATGTCACCTTCATTTTTGCAGTCTTTATACTGAATTTTCAGCAATGTTAAAATTTTTGGTAGTCTTTGGTTAACCATGTCTAAGTTTAATCTCCAAATGTTATTGGGAGGAAGTTCTGTTGTAAAGCTACAGTAGAAATGTTAACGTAAATTTTTGCTGTAAGCTTTTTGTATTTTAAATGATTGCCGGGGCGGAGGGGTGGAGAAGCTTAGGAGGGTGCAGCGGGTGAGTGGCGCTGGCCGGAGAGGGCACTCGGGGTGGCAAGCGCACAGTACAGTGTGCGGACGATGTGCTGTAGGATTGGGCACCTGATTTTATTTACCAGTGTCACCCCAATAAACTCAATAAAAAGGCAAAAATAAATTAATTTTAAAAATAAAGAACATTTACTTTGTGAAGTTAAACATTATTCTTTTTATTCTTACAGTGCATACTATAGGTAATCAGAAGATAAACTTTCTCTTCCTGGTCTTTTAAAATGATGAATGCTGAAGGAAATTTTTTTGTATTTTTGTTATCTATATTGTGTTTAGTTTTGGTTCATTCAAGAAATATTTGACCCTAGACACTGGGAAAACAGCAACAAGAGGATAAGGTCCTTACTTTAACAGAGCTTATATTGTATTACAGGAGATAAGGTAATTGTAGATACTTATCGATGCAGTGAAGAAGATAAAGCAGGGCAAAGGGATAAAGAATGAGAGAGCTTGGGTGCAGGGCTGGAGCAGTGTCCGATCTGAGGGCGTGATGTCAAGAAGAAGAGCCAGGAGAGTGAAGGCCTGGAGGGAGAGCAGACGAAAGGCCGGCGGAAGCCCAGCGGAAGCCCAGGGGGCGAGAGGGCGAGATGGGGTCAGGGAAGCCGGCCGGGGCGGGCTGGGAAGAGCCCTGTTAGAGTTTCACCGCCCGCGCAGTAGGGAACCTTTGGCGTATTTTAAACACAGGAGTGATCTTATGTTTTTAAAGGCTTAGTTTTGCTTACTGGGCAAGTGTAGCAGCAGAGAAATCAAATAGGAAGTTATTATTACCACATGCTAGAAAAAGAAAAGTGACTTTAAGGTGGTGGAAGTGGAGATGAAAAGAAATTCTGATGGATTTGAGATATATAATTTAGAAGCTGAAATAAGACTGGTTGATAAATTGGATATTGTGAGTAGCAAATCAAAAGTTCTGACTTAAACAAGTTGGACCTGCGAGTGGAGAAATCAAGTAGAGACTTGGAAAGTGGTGGAAAGGTAGGTTTAGAAATCACATGTGTATGTGGTCATAAAAGCAGTCATGAAAGTGGGGTGTGGTGGAGGCAAACCTATATCCTATGATTAGATTTAGAATGAACTTTGTGAAACCTTGTGAAAAAATAAGTCCAGACTAAATAGAATTCTTACTCTGAAACCAGAATTAGATGTGTCATTCTCACCCTGTCTGCAGGTGTTTAAACACCAAAAAGAGTTTATTGAGTTATACTGAAAGGTAGAAACGTTCACTCTGGCTGGCATGGCTCACCTGGCTGGTCCTGTAAAAGAAAAACATTAATTCTGGCCGTGGCTCAGTGGGTCGAGCGTCGGCCTGCAAATTGGAAGGTTGCTGGTTCAGTCCCCAGTCAGAGCACATGCCTGGGTTGTGGGTCAGGTCCCCGGTTCTGGGCATGCGAGAGGCAACAGATCAGTGTTTCTCTCCTTCTCTTTCTCCATCCCTTCCCCTCTCTCTAAAACTGAATAAATAAAATCTTTTTTAAAAAGTTTTTAAAAAAGAAACATTCATGACTTTGGCTTCATATATACATAGGCTGGAATTGTAACTTTCCATTTACTAATTGTATCACCTTGGCCTAAGTATCAGTCACCTCATTTATAAAGTGGGAAAACCATATAATTTCTCCTGGGCAGAATTGTGAGACTTATGTTCATAAAATATCCTGTCACTTTATTATGTACCCAGGAAATATAATAATGCTTAAATGTATTTGATTTTTCTCAAATAATTCATAAGAAGTGGCTTGCAATTTAAATGATAATAAACAATTCTCTATCTTTTTAAATATCTTAACCTATTTTCATTAAAAGTGGTTAGATACCTTGAGACTGCGTTTATAGTTACAGAGAACCATTGTCCCAGAACCTCACATCAGCATCTGCTGTGTAAAGGAGCAAACTGAGGTGGGTCTGAGAGGTCAAACTTCCACATCAGGTGAAAAGAAATAATCAGAATTGTGTGATCGTAAGTAGAAAATTGGAATGAGGATAGGAAACAAATGAAAGGATAAATGGGTTCTTTTATGATGAAGCATGAGTATCCTCTATTTCGACATAAGATACCATAGTTTCCATAATGAGAAGTCCTGCTTTGTGGACTTGCAGCTCTGACAGGACAGTGAGCTTAAGCTTCTGGGGGCCAGGATTCGGTTTTTAACAACTTGGCATTCCTGCGGCACCCAGTTCTTTGTGTGTGTGTGTGTGTGTGTGTGTGTGTGTGTGTGTGTGTGTGTGTGTGTGTGTGTTACTTTACCTAAGCATATAATGAATAACCATTGATAAAATGAATTTCTGTACACTTTGGCAAGATTTTACCCACTGGCCAACTATGTGAGTATGTCTTTATATGAATTAAGGTTTTTTTACTATTAATTTTGTGAGAAAGAGACGGGGTAGTGGGGAGGTAGGGGTTGAGATTGAGAGAGAGAAATGTTGATTTGTTGTTCCACTTCTTTATCCATTCATTGGTTGCTTCTTATATGTGCCCTGACTGAGGATAGAACCTAAAACCTTGGTGTATCAGGATGATGCTCTAACTAACTGCACAACTCTGCCAGGGTGTATGAAGTAAGTTTTGAAAAATAGATTCTAACCTGGTCACTTTAGTCATACAATAATACTGTTTTTTATCACTATATATGAGTGGTTCTGGAATTTAAAAGGCTGTATTTAAGTACTTCTTATAAGGAAATGTATTTTCATATAAAATAAGTATCTAAGAACAAAAAATTTCAGTTAAATTGGTCTTTTTAAAAATTAATCACATGTATTTTTATAAAAATTTATTTTTTCAGTATTATATTTGTAAATTCTGTATTTTGCAGAAACAAGCAACATAATTTTGGTAACATGTATTTGGTAATACATGAAACTAGTATTAGGTTAAATTCTTTTACATTGCTTTTTTTAAATGTTATGCTTTAAGTTCTATTGTAATAAGTTTTTTCTAAGAGGGGACAACTATAAGTTTGTTTTTCCTTACATTGATATCAGTCATGGAAATTTAAGTAAAAATTGGCAGCATAGAAATATTATTTTCCCATTAAACATTTTAATTTTTTAAGTGCCATTAAATAAGCTATTCTTTTTTTCTGAACTTCAGAGTAGTTAAATATATGAAATTCAATAAAGGTTATGTGCTATACAGCATATATAACTTTTTTAAAATGTGATTTACATGAGTCCTGGCCGTGTAGCTCAGTTGGTTAGCGCTTCGTCCCAATACACCAAGGTTGTGGGTTTGATGTTTCTTTCTTCCCCCCGCCGACCTCTGTCTCACTAGAAATCAATAGCTAAGTTTAAAAAAATAAGTTTTGGTGATTAATATGGAGAAATATATTAGCGCTTTTTTAAAACAATTTTTATTTATTTATCTTTTAGAGAGAGGGGAAAGGAGGGAAAAAGAGAAGAAGAGAAACATCAATGTGTGGTTGCCTCTGCCACACCCCCAACTGAGGGCCTGGCCCACAACCCAGGCTTGTGCCCTGACTGGGAATTGAACCAGCGACCCTTTGGTTTGCAGGCTGGTGCTCAATCCACGGAGCCACACCAGCCAGCGCAGCAACACTTTAATTACATCAACTCAGTCCATTGTTTTACTTAGCTATCTGGTCCTGTAAAAGAAAAACATTAATTCTGACTGCCTGATTTAAATGTGCACCTATTAAGATGTAAATACATAAATAATTTTCTTTTCTGTTTTGTGAGGGTAGAAGGTCCAGCTTAAAAAACGTGTCTGACCTGTTTGTGATGGGAGGAGCTCTGGTTTTAGAATCTGCAGCTCTCCTGCACTGGCTAGAGAGAGAGGGCTATGGACCTCTGGGAATGACCGGGATATCCATGGGCGGACATGTAAGCCTTTCATCTCAACTGATACTTACTTGCCATTGTGTTTATGAGATCTAGGGAATCTAGTTATTTTCAAAATTCGCTGTATGTATAGGATTGACTTTAGTTTTGGTGAAAGCAGAAACAGATTCAAAACTGCCATTCCAATTAGAAAGTAATGATTTTTTGTGTGTGTGATTTATGGAGATACTGATTGTGCTTATCCCACAGTTATATCTCAGGTGTTGAATTTAATACTTTATTAAAAGTTGATTATAAAACTTAACTCATATTTCAAGTATTAATGTCTTATATTGGTAAAAATAGCTCATTTGGAAAATACTTTTCATTCACCTCTTATCCTCTGTCCCCAGCACCGCGACCCTATTTTCCCTTTCTCTTCTCGAGTGTACTAGAATGGCCTTCGGACTGGTTTCCTTGTTGTGCCCTTTCTCTTCATCTTTTTCTTAACAGTTTTTCTCCACCCCCTGGTCACCTTCCTCAGTCTGGTCTCTGCTCTGTCCTGCTTAAAGCCTGCCAAAGGCTTGCTGTTGCACTGGTTGTAACTGTGCCAGGTGCTGGCATCCTTCTAGTGCCCGTCCGTGCCCTTTCACCTAGTGGGATAACAGCCTGCTCTGTGGTTCCAGTTTAGAGCTTGCTTCCTAGGAGAAGCTCTCCCCGACTCCCAGCCTTCCTCCGCACTATGCTTCATCTCCCATTAGTGCTTATTTCACAGTAGTTATTCAGCAGTCTGTTTGCTCCATGAAGCAGTTGATCAGTGAGGACCAGGATTATGCTCTGGTTCATGACCTGGACATAATAGTTACTCAATACATTCAAAATACGAGGTCTGTCCAGAAGGTATCCAGCCACATACTATGAAAAATAGAGATATTTATTGAAGAATATACAACACACAAGAAACATTATACATAGAACAATGATGCCTCAATCCCCTTCAAAGTAGGCACCTTGGGACCTCACACAGTTCTCCCAATTGCCACTAGCTGCCCCATCGTATTTTCCTGAATCTCATTGACCATCTGAAACCTCTTTGCTTTCGAAGGTGATTTTAGTTTTGGGAAAAGCCAGAAAGAAGTCCCAGGGCTCCAAATCTGGGCTGTAGTGGGGCTGAGTCACCTGAGGGATTTGATGTTTCGCCAAAAAACCCTGCAGGAGACATGATAAATGAGTGGGCGTGTTGTCATGATGAAGCTGCCAATCGCCAGTTTCCCATAGCTGCGGCCTTCTGAATCCTCCAAAGAGTTTCCATAGAGCAGTGGTCAAGCTTCACGCAAAATTTGATGTAGCTTCGTGGCTCTACTCACTCAGTCATTTTGAATGCAATGGCAACACACTACACAAGCTCACTCAACAGCGTCTACTGCCCCCACCGACTAGTACAGTGAAGTCATCATTGTTCACGCATGTGCATTCCAGCCCACTCTTCTTCGCTCCCAGGTTCCATCCATGTTGCACAAACTGCCCTCATTATATTAACAATGGTTGGACTCTTTCTGGACAGACCTTGTATGTATCATTTGCTGTAAGTCAGTTGAATTATAAAATTAAGTTCAGAAACTTAAAATTCAAAGCAGTTGCCAAAGAGTGAAGCTGGTAAAATTAACTTCAAGAACTTATTCAAATTCAAAACAACTACCAGATGGCGAAAGTGCAGGCGGCAGAGGGTTGCTTTGCCTGCCCAGCAGCGTTTCCGTTGTTACGACCTTGCAGCTTCACCCCGACTGCTACCTCTTACGGTGTTCCTTCCCAAATTTCACCCTCTTTAACCAGTCCTATAAACTGCTATCATTTTAGCTTCCTTAATCGCTTCTTTGACAATGCCACTCTTTGCCCAGGCCTCTTTATTGATTCCCCATTATCTACAGAACACAGGGACTTCTAATCTGATCCTGATGGATCTTTCCCGTGCGACCTATTTCCATGACCCCAGTGGCCACATGTGCACTATTGACCAGCGGAGCATAAGTACAAGGGTGGGCAAACGTAGGTTTACGCTCATGAGTACGTTAAACACAGTTTATTCTTGTATTATTATATATTCATTATTGTGTTACTTTCCGTATGAACATCTGTAAGCCTACTTGTGCCCAACCCTGTTCCCCTCCCTGACATAGTGTGCTTTCTCACCGTCTTGCCTTTGATCATGCTATTTTATATGGAAAACAAGACCCAATCTTTCATTTTCCCCAAAAGACAACCATTTCAAGAAGCTGCCTCTGATTCCTCTAGTCAAAAATAACTCTTCCTCTCTCTAAACATGCACATTACATCATTTTATATCAGTTATATATTATGCTTTGTAGCTTACCAGTTTCTTGGCATCTTCAGTCAACGTCAAGGATCTGAGATTTTAAATTTATGATTTTGCCGTACCTGAGGTCACTTGGGTAATGAGTGTGCTCAGCCTCATCAGCAGCACCTACATCTCAGCATGTTTGCTCTGTATCTACCCAGTAGAAAGTAGCTCTCTATAAGAAAAGTCTTGAGGTTACTTGGAATTTTCTGATACACTTCACTGCTTTCAAAGGGGGAAGTTATATGTTGTTGAATTTATGACTGGAAGTTTGAAAAGGTTTCTAGACATTCTCATAGTGTTCAGAGACTTTGTGTTCATGCCTTATCTCACCAAGTACTTACTGCACAAAGTGCTTGTTAATATTAAATATTTTTATTTTAATGAATAGAAAGTTGAAACAGAAGCTCTCTGACTGACTGTGTTAACATATTACAGATGGCTTCCTTAGCGGTATCTAACTGGCCTAAGCCCATGCCACTGATTCCATGTCTGTCTTGGTCCACGGCATCTGGTGTCTTCACTACGGTATTTAATTACAATTAATATTTTAAATTTTTTTAATTTATTGATTACACCACACACACACACACAGAAACATCAATTTGTTGTTCCCTTTATTTGTCTATTTATTTGTTGATTCTTGTTTGTGCCCTGACTGGGAATCAAACCCAAAACCTTGGCATGTTGGGATGATGCTCTAACCAACTGAGCTACCCGGCCAGGGCGCAGTTAATATTTAGATAGCTATATATGCTTATAGGTAATTGTTTTGGGGGTTCCGAAAACCACTCCCAGGTTTGGTGATTCACTAGAAGGAATCCCAGGACTCAGCATATGACTGTACTCATGACTAAGACTCATGACAGCGAAAGGGCTCCATACAAAATCAGCGCAGGAAAGGCACCTGGGCGAAGTCCAGAGGGCACCAGGGCGGGCTCTCTGTGGAGTCTCACAGGGTGGTTTGATTCCTACACCTGTGCGTTGTTGACAGTATGTGCAAAGTGTTGTCCACTAGCGCAGCTCACTTGAGCCCACAAGTCCAGGGTTTTTATCAGGGGTCAGTCATGTAGGCACCCTCTGCCTAGCATGTCCCAAAATTCCAGAAGGAAAGCAGGTGTTCCGCAGAAACCACGTGGTTTGTGCGAGTGGTTTAGGAGCAGAGACCCACTTTATCATGTAGAAGTTTTACATCAGGGAGAAGAACTATTTACCCATTAGGTTCCCAGACTCTAGTCACAGGCCAACCTTCCAAGCAGGTCTTTTTAAAGATGGGAAACCTCAAGCCTGCAATGTTAACTCAGTAATGATCTATTTTTTGGACAAAGTGGTAAGGTATGATTCGATCTTAATTTAGTTTGTTATTTCAGGGTGTGCTGAGTAAATCGATTAATTGGAGGGAGCTGGAAAAGCAGTATTATACACAGACAGTTTATGAGGAAGAAATTATTCACATGCTTGAATATTGTGGAGTAAGTATTTTTAATTTCTTCATAATGTTAGAGAAAAGGTTGACTGTTTAATGATTCCAGTGTTTAAAAGAATTGCAAATTTTTTAAAAAGCAGTACTATTTTTTTACTTTTAAAAATTTATTTTAAAATAAAATAATAAAATAATAAATAGATACAGAAAAGCCTTCAAAGAAAATGTGCCTTTTTACTACCTTTATTACATAGCAAACACATTCATAAGAGGTCAAGAATAGAACTTGACCAACCAACCCAGGATCCGCTTCCATGTCCTGACCAAAGGGCCTTCCTCCCCTACTATTAGTTACCATGATTCTGACTTTTATAGTAATTACTTTCTTCTTTCTTTAAAATAATTTGATTGTCCAAATGTACACATCTAGACACTACAGTTCTTGTATTATTTTATTTTCATGTGGCAGATAGTGTGATTGATGGAGAGAAGAGAATTAGATGAAGATAAGGGGGATAATTACTGCATTTCTTTTACTTGATGTTTAAGTGCCTGTTATTATTACTATGATTGTTTATTCTATTACAGTTGTCCCCATTTTCCCCCGTGGCCCCCCTCCTCTCTGCCCTCTCCCCCGCAGCAGTCTCTGCACCGTTGTCCACGTCGGTGGGCCATCCACACAGGTTCTTGGGCTAACCCCTCCCCTTCTTTCCGCCATTCCCCACCTCTCCCCTCCCCTCTGGCACCTGTCAGTCTGTCCCTGTTTCCACATCTGGCTCTGTTTTGCTTGTTAAGTTTATTTTGTTCATTAGATTCATTTTATAAGTGGATCATATGATATTTGTCTTTCAACCTGTAAGTTCCTGCCCATCTCTTTCTTTCCCTTAAACCTTCTCTATTGAAGAACTTGGGCTCTTTTCCTGTAGTTTCTCACAGGCTGAATTTTTCTGATTATTCTCATGGTACAGTACGGCATCTTCCTCCCTGCTCTCTATTGCCTGCTGATTGGCAACTAGGCCTAGAGGCTGATTAAATGCAGTTTTTCCTTCTTTGGAAAGAGCCTGGGAAGCACATAGTATCTTATCTGGCTGTCTCTTTTTTGTGGAGTAAGCCTCCATTGATGCTTTAATTCCTGTGTCGGTTCATTTGTTGAGGGTTGCAGAATGCTGATATCCTGATTCTTTTTTTTTTCTCTCTCTTTTTTTCCCCCTACAGTTCTTTCTTTCTTTTTAAGATTTTATTTATTTATTTTAGACAGAGGGGAAGGGAGGGAGAAAAAGAGAGGGAGAAACATCAATGTGGTTCCTCTCGCACACCCCCCAGTGGGGGCCTGACCTGGCCTGCAACCCAAGTGTGTGCCCTGATTGGGAATTGAACCAGTGACCCTTTGGTTCACAGGCCAGTGCTCAATCCACTGAGCCACACCAGCTAGGGTCCTTTTTCATTTATTAGTTTGAGTACTTTTATAAAAAGGTACTTCTCTCATCTATTGTTAGGTTACCTATTAATTCAGTTCATGTAGGAAAAGCGGGGTAAATGCTTGAGTCTTTCCTTCAATTTTCCCATTTTCAGGACAATGAATTGGTACCGTGTTATTCTGCTAACATGACCAATTTTTTTCATGAATTTTAAAATTTTGCACTATTAAATTACTGAGAATCTCAAAAAATCTCAGAAAGAAAAGGAATCTTTCTAGTATCGATGAGGAATATAATTTGTATTTACATCACTTTTACACCTCAAACTACCCTGTATAACCCCAAAAGATATTAATTACTTGTCTAAGAACTTTGTTACAAAATAGCTCTACATGCTAGTTAGTTCCTTGTGATCCACTACACATACAATCAGAAAGATACCTATACTTGAGAGCTTATGAGAAAACTTTTAACATGCATTTTTATAAAGGAGGTTCATAAATTTTGGTCATATGAAATGGCAACGTATTCTTTTTTTGAATTTTTTTTGGAAGATTTGATTTTTTCTTTTTTCTTTTTTCTTTTTTAGACAGAGGGAGGGAAGGAGGAAGAGAGGACGAGAAACATCACTGTAAGAGAGAAACATTGATTGGTTGCCTCTCGCATCCCCACAACGGGGATCTGGCCCACAACGCAGGCATGTCCCCTGCTACGAATCGAACCAGCAACCTTTCACTGGCAGGCTGATGCTCAATCCACAGAGCCACTCCAGCCAGGGTAGCATTGTGTTCTTAACCAGCAGTTCTTTCTCTGTGCCTCTGACTTGGTGGTTGTATGCAAGAGCCTTTTTGTTTGTTAGAGCTAGTTCAGAGTAATGAATATTCAGGAAATGTCAAGCTGGCTTCCTTCCTTTGTTGTTATAAAAATTGCATTTACCCTATCAGAAGGAGTTAAATTTGTTGGTGTACCACGCTGAGTAATTCTAGGATGCTTTGATCTTACAATTCCCAATATTACTAAACTTCTTCATCTCTTCTTTTATATTTCTGTGGTCTAGGTGTCTTTAGTGACTGGTTCTGTTAACTGGATTGTTGGTTTGTTTTTTTTCTTTCCTTCAGCCAATTTTTCATTCTTTAATTTTTAAAATAGATTATATGTCCACATAGTTCAAGCATCAGAAAGTATAAAAAGATATATAGTGAAACAGATATTATTCTTGTTCCCAATTTGCCTAGGTCCTATCTCCTTCAACAAATAGCCCACAATATTATTGTTTAATATTTGAAGGAATGTTTTCAAACCAATAGAAATATGATTTTTTTCTCTTCCCTTTATTTATGGACTATACACAAATGTTTCCTTTTTTCTTCTTTACTGCTGCATAATAGTCTGTTACAGAATGGATATAGCATGAATTATTAACTAGTACCCTGTTGGTGGACATTTTATGTTGTTCTTCATCTTTCACTATTAAAAACCAATACTGGCCCTGACTGGTGTGGCTCAGTGGATTGAGCACCAGCCTGCAAACTAAAAGGTTGCTAGTTCGATTCCCAGTCAGGGCACATGCCTGGGTTGTGGTCTAGGTTCTTATTTGGTGTCTGAGAGGCAACCAACGACATCTCTCGCACTGATGTTTCTTTCCCTCTCTTTCTCCTTCCCTTCCCCTCTCTCTAAAAATAAAATAAATAAAATCTTAAAAAAAAAAAAACCCAATACTACAATGAGTATCTTTGTATGTACATTATTTCGCAAATGTAAATTCCTAGTAATGTTGCTGAGTTGAAGGGCATGTGCATTTGCAATAAGGTTAGATTTTATCTAAGTCTAGTTGTGTCAGTTTATGCTACAAGCAGGAACACGTGTGTTTTTTTCCCCATAAATTCACAAATTCACTGTGTTATTAAACTTACAAGGGTGTTTCTTAAACTGATAGTGAAAATTAGTATAGTTTTTGTTACATTGCTTAATTTTTAGTGAAATTGAATATGTTTATAAGTTTAAGAACAATTTCTATTTTATTTTCTGTAACCCTATATGTATATTCTTTGCTCATTTTTTCTATTATGACTTTGGGCTTTCTTTTCACTCTGTAAATCAAAACATTTACATAGCATAAATCAAAACAATTAGTTCTCTGTCATATAGGTTGCAAATATATTTTCTCATACTATCAACTTTGTCTTTTCACTTTGTTTTTAGTATTTTACAAAATCTATTTTTACGTAAATTGTTGTGTTATAAGTCCTTAAACTTAGTTCACACTTTAGAGATTTTAATAGGCAATATTTATTCCTTGATAAGTTTTAACGCCCCCTAGTTGAACCCGAGAAGGGGTTGGAGTGACTGTTGTGTTCCTGTCGGGACGTGCTCAGCAGGCCGCTCGGGAGCTCTAGCGGGCCTTGCGCGGGGTTCCAAATTTTGACAATAAAAACATGAGATGGAATAAATTATACCCTTTACATTGCTGTTGAGTAGGAAACATTTAGCAATAAAATATAAATCTGCCTGAATCCTAAGCTAAATTTTGACATCTCTTGTTTTTTGTTTTTTGGGATAAAATATATACAACATAAAATGTACCACTCTAACCATTTTTAAGCATACAGTTCAGTAGTATTAAGTACACATATTCACATTGCTGTGTGACCATCACCCCTCCCTCTAGCAACCCCCTCCAGTTGCAGAACTTGTCATCTTCCGTAACTGACATGCTAACCTATTACACAGCAACACCCCATTCCCCCCGCCTCCCCGCCCTGGCAACGACAACTCTACTTTCTGTCTCTCTGAACTTGACTCTTCTAGGTTCCTCATAGAAGTGGGTAGGGTGCCACACACAGTGTTTGCCCTTTTGTGCCTGGTTTATCCATTTGCCTTAATGTCTTCAAAGTTCATCTATGTTTTAGCATGTGTCAGAATTTCGTTAATAATCCATCATATATATACCACATTTTGTTTCTCCATTTATTCCTTGATGAACATTTGTGCTTTCTCTTTGTTTTAACAAGGTTGTTAAATAAAATAGTATTTTATATTAAATGATGTTTTATTTTTTTCCAAATATTCAGACAGATTCTTTCAAAATGGGACAAGAGTTTGTGAAACACTTCCCTGGCACCGCAGACAAGCTCACTGACCTTAGTCTTGTGTCTAGAACTTTAAATTTAGATGTGACAGACGGAGTTGTGTCCTCAAAACCTACCGAGCGCCATAAATCGAGTAAAACATCTTTTAGTGCCACATCAGAAGGACTCTTGTTGCAAGACACCTCTAAGATGGAGTGCTTCAATCAAACACTTTCAACCAACAAAAGTAGTTATACCAGTTGTAATCCTCAGTCATACCACCTACTCAGTAAAGAACAAAGAAGAAGGAATCTTCAGAAAGAATCTTTACTCTTTATGAAAGGAGTCATGGATGAATGTACTCATGTAGCAAATTTCTCAGGTATGAATCTTTCCATAAAACTGAGACTATTGGATGATGTATAAACTTGTGAAGTATTTTTTAAGCATGTTTTATAAGTTAATATTGTATTTTCCAGATTGCTCCAGAATGTGTTTTTTAAGATAAACTGGCTATTTAAATGTATCATATTTTATCAATGAAAATCTAAGACCATTTTTTTAAAGATTTTATATATTCATTCTTAGAGGGGAAGGGAGGGAGAAAGAGAGGGAGAGAAACATTGATATGCAGGAGAAAATTGATTGGCTACCTCTCGCAGGACCCCATTTGGGGGCCTGGCCTGCAACCCGGGCATGTGCCATAAATGGGAATCAAACCAGCAACCTTTTGGTTCAAGGGACGACACCTAACCCACTGAGCCACATCAGACCATGTTATTAGTTCATTAAAAATATTGGACTATTTTTAGAATATTTATCTGACTGTACTAGAGATGATTACTATATATTATAGTATATTATAGTTGATTTCTAACATTCAAAAATTCTGGTTTGACAAATGCTTCAGATGCATTGTATGGTACATTTAATTTTCTAATACAATTAATAGTACTTAACATTTTTAAAAAGTATTATGTTGCATTTTTTTAAATCTTGTACCTAGTTCCAGTTGACCCAAGCCTCATTATAGTGGTTCAAGCCAAAGAAGATGCCTATATTCCACGAACAGGAGTTCGAAGTCTACAAGAAATTTGGCCTGGTTGCGAAATCCGATATCTAGAAGGGGGTCATATTAGTGCTTATCTTTTTAAACAAGGGCTCTTCAGGTAAGATGATTGGTCTAAACAGGTGTCTATGTATTGTTCGTTTTGGGATTTTTTTCTTTACTGAATAAATACAAAATATTGGGTATTTTTATTATATGTTTTAGTCCTCTTATTTCCTCCCTGCTTCCCTCAGTTCTCAGGTGGTGCTCTTTCTTGTCCCCTTCGAGAGAACTGCCGAGTTGCGTGCGATAGGCATGCTTATTATGTGGCTTTACCCTCTGCAGATGTCAACGGCCAGGCACTTTAGGGAATGGGTAGGAACACCAGGGTTAGTTAAACTTGCTTTGGTTCATCTGGAGTTTTTCACTCCACACTGATGTTTTCTCCTCAGAATGGCCTCAGCATATGTGGAATAATCTAGCAATAGTTTTCAAAAGCAAATGAATATTGAACCTCAAAGTGAGAAGAGAAATACTGGTTTTAATGTTAATAACTTTTGTGACTCCAATATTTGATAGAACTTATAAAAACTTTTATGCTATAACTTGTTTTTTGGCATCCTGTGTTACTTCTACTTTTATTCAAATTTGATGGTAAAAAGTATTATTGGAATATATTTATCATTAATGATTAAATAAATTAGTTCATATAAAGTGCCCTGTGCATAATAAGTATTCCAAAATTTCCAGTTTGATCACTATATAATAGAAAAATTAAGTGTGCTATATGTTTGACATTTTTAATTCTTTTTAGTTTAAGAAATAAGAAATAATTCTTTATATGTTGTTAATTAGTTCAACTTACTGATGTCACCTTTTTGAGGCACAGACTAATTCTTTAAGTCTGTAATGTCCTGAAGCATATAATAAACTTTTCTTTTTATTGTATGATCTTTTAAAAAATATTCAGAATTTGAGTCCCTGTTAGTAAGTAAGCAGACTATCTACCTACCCGGTGTGACTTTCTGGTACAGTAAAACTAAAACAAGCAAATAAAAAAAGCAAACAAAAATTGTGAGGGGGTTGCTAGGGTTGCTCAAGTATAGTCTAAAGTTCTGTTATATTTGTGAATCAGAGAACCCACATGCTTGCTTTAGTAAATCAGTATCAAATTTCTTTTTCACTTTTATGCATTTAAGTGGGAGTGTAGCTGAGAGGAATTATGAAGACCAGATATGATCATAACTGTAAAAACTCAAAAGTGCTCATTTAAAGGCTTCACTTGAGAAAGAGATAAATGTTAGCTGTTACCATGTGCCAAGTACCAGAGCAATTGCTTTGCACAGAAATACAAGGGCAAAAAAGGGTAAGCAACTTGCTCAGGTGGAGTCACCAGCTATTTGGTCTCCCTAAATCCCACCAGTCACTTTGAAACTTAATGAAGTATAGATGACAGTGGAATACAATTTTTAAAAATTCATTCTTTTCACTCACCAGGAGTAAGCCAAAGCACTCCTGCATGAGCTCTTGTATTTTGTGTTATTTAGAACTAATTGGTAATATAAGTGAGGAAGAGACTATGCAAATAAGTGAAAAGGCATATGTGTACCTTTCCTAACCCTCCTCATACTGTGTACACAGGACCAGGTTGCAACCTTAGAAATCAGGAAGTAAAAGAAATTCCTTCCAGCAGAGCAAGTATGCAGGACTAACTTGGGGCCGGGGGGATGCTGTCCAGTGTACAAACATCTCCAGCTGCATGCTCTTACCTGCGGTCAATTAGTGCTCTGACACCTGCCCTAAGCAAAGTTTCAGTATGTGCTTACACCAACATCCAAATGTTCAGCTTTGGTTTGTTTCCCTTCACATTGTTACATTTTACAAGGGACACATTTCCGAGACAAACACAGGTGTGATGGAAACCTATGTCTGCCCAACATATTGGAAGTCAATCTATTAGCAGGCTGCCAGTTTTAAAAATAACCTTAATATCTTTTTAAGGATGTGGGGAAATGCTTTGTCAAACAAGAAGGATACAGAATTAGCATGATCTCAGTTATTATTTAAACTGGGTGAAAATACAGATGTATGCATTTAAACAAAATAAGCCTGTAGGCAATATGTGGTACAGTAGGTACCTTAGAGATTATGACTTTTTCCCCTTTCTATAGTTTTGGATTTTCTGAACATTCTACAATGAAAATATAGACTCTCACAATATGAAAAAACAAAATAAGTTTTAAAAATATCTTTTAAACCTAGGCCATGTCAATTTGACTATTCCTTTCCAATTAAATATTAAAATACCTATAAAATTAATGTAGGAAACTAAAGCTTTTGACTTTAAGTTCAGTTGCTAGGGACATTTTTTTTAATAAACAAAAAGTATCTATATACTAATCAATGAGACAGATATAATACTATGTTCTGAAAAGTTATGTAGCCAGTTAATCACTTAATATTCAACAAGTGACAAAAATAAAAAACCAGCCCCTTTTATCATTTTATGAATTATTCATATATGTATACATACATATTATATTAATCTTAAGGCACACATCTTCAGAGGAAATGTATTTGAGGTTTTCCAGCAGTGAAGTTCCAGGGATCCAAACACCCACCTTCAGGTACCTGCCTCTTTCTCATCTATTTGGAAAGGAAGTCAGGTTTCAAGCCAAAGGTAATTTTAGAAATAACTTATGTTCCCCTTTTTTGCTAATTGCTTGTAGTTTTTCCTTTTTATTTTTAGACGAGCCATCTATGATGCGTTTGAACGCTTTCTCCATAAATACGCTAACTAATTGGATCACTGTATGTAACCAGTGTGGCCGTCATGTTTCTTACAAAAGGAGCTTCATCCTTTGATGATGTGACGAGCAAGCGGGCAGCACTGTCTGTCTAACTGCTGCCTCATTCGTCTGGCATTCAGTGTTACAGGTCGGTCAGCTATAACCTTTAAATGCATTTGAATGACTTTAAACCAGTATTTGGATAAAATGATGAAGTATTTTGTTACTGTTTGTGGAAATCCCATATACTCAGTATATAGTCTATTGTTGCAACTTATGAAAACTTTAAATTTTTGATTATGAATAATTTATTAACTTAAAATAAATTTATTCATAGAAACCGCATTGGTTTTTACAGAACTGCTAAACAGAAGTTTGTAATACATCAGTATACCCTTACATATTTTTACTACTAATTTGCTTTGAGAAATATGTTTATTTCTTTTATGGATCCATAGTGAATTTATAATCTTATTTTCACCTTTAATTTTCTGCTATGGAAATATTTACGATATGTGAAATCACTGTTAACTTTGAATTCTAAAAAAATCCTGATTATTTTGTATGTAAGCGCTTTTAATAATTAAAATGAATGTGGGAATGCAAACATGATGCATAAGACCAGGCTAAACTTCAAAAACTGCCAGATATTAGGTTAAAAAATGCCAAATGTATTTCCCCTACTGAACTTTCAATTCATGAAAATTGGAAATATCTGTTGAATTAATTAATAGATACTATGTCTTAACATTTCTTACATGTCTATGACTCTGGCTTTGCAAAACACCCAACTTCACTTTAGGCCAAGTATGTAACAACTTTGACTTTTTAATTTCAAAAATTGATGGCCACAGTGAAATCCTAAGTCTGTCGCAAATAAACTTTATCTTACAGAAAATATATTAACTACTGACTTTTTAAAATTGGAAGATTACATGGCTAGATTTGGTGCTTTCTTTTTATGATAAACTTCTTAAGCAAAGAGCTAAAATATTCTTAAAAAGTAGAAAATATTTTTGGGTATTGTGTCAAGCCATAGAATACGTGTATTTGAGTTTTATTTATTTGAAATCTGTGTTATCTATAGATTATATTTAAATTAAATATGTATTCCTAGTCTAGTAAGGATATTTGAATTATAATGTGCCTTTGTAAGCTTTATAAAGAAGCTTTAGTTGTCCGTCTAATAACCACATCATTTCAATTTTTTAAAACTATTTTTAAATTATTAATGTAAAGTCATTGATGGCATACAGTTGAAAATATTGTAAAACTGCTTTGGCATAACAAACGAAAATGGTTATAGCCATTTGAGCTACCGCAATTTTACATGTTCAGAGTAGAACCTTTACTTTTAACTGAAAGTATAAAAACCTAAAGTTACTCAATAATATACCCTTTAAAGTAAAGGTTATTGTCAACTAAATCCGTTTCTTTTGTATATTGTGAGGTAATATGATGATTGAATACTGACTAATGGCTTTAGTAAAACCAGTACTTAATTCTCACATAAATATTTCTTACTAAGCAATAATGTACTATGTTGTGTGACTTAGTAAAAGTACTGGTAAAAGAATGAAATTTTATTTCATTTTAATTAATTATTGGACGTAACTAATTTTTCCCAAGTAAATGTGAAAGAAGGTATCTTTAAAATTTTATCTCCTAACCAGATGTTTTAAGACTAAATTGCTGGGGGAGCACTTGAGATCTTGCTTCCCAGCATGTCATCATTTGGCTCAAAAAAACTCTCATTAAAAAAACAATATATATATATATATATATATATATATATGTATATGTATATATGTATATATATCCATGCACATACCTAAACTGATTAATTCAAAGTCCAAAACACCTTTCCTTAAAGTTTTTAACCCACTCCCCCCAAAAGGATGACTTAAGCTTCATATATACACACATATGTGTGTATACATATATACATATATATGTACACACATGCACACACAAAGCAGTGCTGTCTGCCATTTTGACAGTTGGGTACATAAACTGCTAGAATTTCATTTAGGCCAGAGTTGCCAACTGGCAGTCGATGCAGGCCAGCTTGGCCCACAGTCATTTTATCCAGTGTGTGTAATATTTCAGAATTTGTGTTCAGATTGGCATGCATCCCAGTTTGCCACAATCCACTGGACTCCCTCATGTCAGACCATGTGGCTACTTTGTGTTTCCTACTTAGCCCTAAAGACATCTGAGGTTCAGATCCCTGAGATTCATGGTTAGAAAAAGTCTCTGAATTTTAATGATTACCTAATGTTGTAAATACTATTAAATTGTAGCATATGCATTTTAGATTTTTTCTTATGAATGTAATTTCTTAACGTGGTGCTTTTTCTTGTAAAGAATATTGAATTGTTAACACTGTAACTGAAATTTTAAAAATTTTGAAATATTTTATACTCGTAATAAATGCTTATTTAAAAAATTACTTATGTTCAAGAGGTATTATTTTAAATATAGAAAAAGTGTCACATTTGATTAATGTATCCAAACTTGAACTGAGTATGCGTCCCTCCGTATGACCCAAACAAAGCAAAGCATAAATAAGGTAGGGAGGCTTCACCAGCATTATATTCAGTATCTGCAACAAGAGCCCCAGTTTCCCTCAAAGTAGCTGTGATCCCAGAAACCAGCATTCTGACAGACTGTAGTTATCCAAATGTCGCATAACTCACTATAGGAGGCGATTATCTATGCCGCTAAAGGTACTGTGCACAATTGAAATTGAGAAATAAGAACTGAACTATAGGACAGTTGGACTGGGAATGGGGGTCCTGGGTAGAGACTGCTATAGAAACTAGGTTTGGATATAAAAGGAAAACTTACGGCAGATGAGACAAAGGGAAAAGAGGTACATTTGGGTAGGTAACCTAATTCTAGAAATAGTCATACAGGCAGAATGGCTAGGAAAGAAAAGACTGTGTGAAGCATTTTGAAACAGTTTTAATTAGAAAATGTTGTAACAAAAGAATCGAAAAGACTTTTCTCAGGACCAAAAGAGCTACTGTGCAGAATCACCAGGTCTGGTTTAAAAAAAAAAAAAAAAAAAAAAAAAGTAAACAAAGGTAAAAAGGCGAATCTCTGACTGAGGTTAAAACAGTTTTTCTACGTATAGGACCTGGGTAATTCCACAAAGAAAGAAGTGGTATCTTAGCACTTTGCTGCTCAAAGTATGGTCAGTAGATTGGTAGTATCAACAACACAGTAACAATAAGTAATATTTAATCATTTTTTTAAAATACCCTAAAAATAAACTAAGTTCAAAGAAACATAACTTTGTCTCTTCCAGTATTCAAAGAACAGAGAGCTTCAAACAACAGGGTGTAAAATTGGTCAATGTAAGGAACATCCAAACCTGTAGGGAAAACATTTGTGTTTATTTGAGCCAAATTGACAGCATGCATGGCTAAGGTCTCAAATGCCCCTGGAATGACAGTTTTGCAGCTGCTTTTGTGCATTTGAAGTTGAGGGAAGTAAGGAAGATTACAGGGCAGCGGACAAAAACAAGGCAGGAATTGGATTACAGGATAGTTAACAAGATTATGTGCGCACTTGAGAGTCAATACCCCCTTCCAGGGTTAATACCCACTAGGGCCTGCCAAGTTAGGAATTTATGATCAGATCACCCTGTGAGGCTACTTCCACAGAACATCCACCCTTTTTTTTCATTTGCATTGTAAAAGAAAAAAGTTGAAATAGTGCGGGAGGAAAAGTAAAGTGTTAAGTACCAATCCTACCTATTGGTGGATTGTTCTTAGGCTGGACAGACATTTGAGAGAGTTCCTACTTCTGTTAAACTGGACCATTAAAACTTTACCTGCCTCCCAGTAAAGAGGGCTACCTAGGAAAAGCTGTCTGACTGAAAGGTAACCTAGATTTGGTTTGCAACCTTGCATAGCAAACACAGTGGGCTGGTTTGCTTTTTTGTTTTTGTATTTGTTTTCCTATTTTTATAATACAAATAAGTGAAAAAAGCAAAATTTCCTGAAGGTGCTTTTACTCTCATTTCATCTAAGATTGAATATGTCAGTGTATTTATTGAAGGAAAGGTACATGTAAAGCCTTTCAAACGCATGTTAGCATTGACCCTGCCTCGAAAGTTAGAGATAATTTAAAGTATTTAGTACGTATCCAAGCATTTTGCTCATATTCATTATGATGAACAGGACCCAAGGCACTTTGACTTGGATGGTTTGGTATATCTTGTTGAAAAACTGGCCTCTTTTAGAGTCATATTTTATAGGAAGTTAAAAACTCTGGTTCAGTTTTCTACTTGGATGGTAGGACTTTGGAACAGATTATATATAATGCATTCTTTGAAATCTCTGCAGCATAAAGTACAGCCATTTGCACATTGGGTTTTTGCCAGCCTGAACCTAAATTGCACTGCTAATAAAAGCAAAGATCTTGATGTACCTGTGGGACATTACTTTCCTGAAACACCAAGGGGAGGTAGAGAAGGAGTGGTTCAATCACCTGATGATGCATTAGCATACTCTCAACAGGAAAAACAAGATTTATCTTTTAAAAGCTCATTTGAACAATCATTTGAATGTCGAGTTTGTATGAGGATAATTGGTGTTTCATAACTTGTGAGGGCCTAGAGAACCATCTCCCTTCTTTGAAAAGACAACCCTATACCTGTGCTCTGTATTCCAGTTTTCCATTACAAAAAGGAAAAGAAAAAAAGAAAAAATCTAGGTTCAGCTTCAGGTTCTTTTTTGTTTTTGTTCTTTTTTGACGTTCCAGTCTTAAGGAGATCGTTTACCTGGTGCCCCACAGCTCTGAACATGTATTTAAAGCTTTTGAAAGGATACAGTGCATCAGGGAGATTATTATAACTATAAGCAGCATAATTCCCAGTGTTTACACTATACTTCAGAGCCATCAAGACCCAAACCAATCAGAATCAAATAAACCAAAGACTCCAGTGAAGGGGTCACCTTTTCAAGCCAAGGGGCTTGTTCAGTTATCTGGAGTTTCAATTTATCCAGAAGTGTTGTTAATCCAAGTGTAGCACAAGGTACTTACTGGCCACTGCTCAGACACTTCCTTGCTCAGCTAAATGATAATCAAGGTCTATCCTATTATCAAGAACAACTTTGCCCATAGAGTCTAAGGATCAATATCTTTAATAGTTAAAGAGAGGTTCCTGATAATAACCTCATTTACATTTATCCCTAACTAGAGAAGTAGGGCCC